CCAGCAGTGGTGGTGATATGTCATCCGAACAGCAAGTGGAAGGCTTCGCGCAAAGTCTGAGAGTGAATGGACAGTGAACATACTTTCGGGCTGCCATCCAAATTGTGAAATCTGCATTTCTTTCTGCTTATTCTTAACATCGTCACCACTCTCTTCTCCTGTGCTTCCTCTATGGAAACAATTAAAGTCTGCGCTTGGGAACCCTCTGTAAATGTTCCGTTAAAAATATGCATGATGCATATACTTACTCATGCAAACAATAAAAACCTGATTGTAAAAGTAGACACAGGCATGACATCCCAAATGGGTTTATCAAATATGTTTCCCTTTCCTTTTAAAATACTCGTGCAAATAAGATACTCTTGCAAAAGTGCACAAACAGACCACATTACATAAGATCACTCAAAAACATGCTGTTTCAATTTTTTAACTGTATCACAATTAATAACAATGATAATACAAAATTGTACTGGATTTGAATGTGATGCCTGTGTCCTCTTCATTCCATTCCTATTCCTGAACCACACTTTAAATACAAACATTTTTTGTGCTCTGAGCAACTGCAGAAACCTAAACACTTCTAATGAAAATGCACCAATGGCTTTTACCTTTTAAAACTTCTGTAAGAATCCTGGGAGACATAAATAACAAGACATTAACAAGAATACACCAAACCGAAGCTTGCATGCATGAATACATTAAAAGAACATGAAGAGAAAACAAAGCCACAAAACAACTACAGGTTAAGATGCTGGTCATTGCAGCAGTTTAATGCAGAAAGTTTCTAATTTCACTGGGATTTGACCTCAGCCTCATTTCATAGAGATGAGGTCTGCATAGAATGGGACTTGTGAACTGATTTTATTTGATTTTTTATGTTTTATTTTTTGTCAAAATACTGTATTCTGTAGTGTCAGAAAGTGCACTACTTTAAGTGACGTTAGTGAAGCAATGTTTCACATGATGTACGGAAGCAAGTGGTTGGCGCCATTGTATTTTTTTGTTTCTTTTCTTTATTCTTGTCTAAGACTAAGGAGGCTGGGTAAGTTATTAAGTACAATTATTCTGCTGGCTTCTTCCATTTGCACTCAAGGAAATAATAACATGATTTGGCAAGACATATTGGTTATAAAGACTGTAAGATTCTCTCACATAACCTTGACATGAGGAGAATTTGTAATTGTTTAAATGGCAGGTAATAAGAAAATGAAAACAAAAGAGACTCCCCTATCATACTCTTCTTTGTAATCAGATAACAGTCATTTGTATTCGATTCTGAGATTATCAGGTGTGTGTTTGGTCAACAAATTTTAACTTGGTTAAAATAGAAAGCATAATTATTCAAGGTTAGTATGAAATGACACCATGCATTTGTATGTGAAAACTGGAGGTCAGGCCAGTTGCATGGTTGTTGCATAGATCATGTTTGTGTTTTGGATTTTAAGATGCACAATAGGCATAAAGTAAATTGCACATAACATTAGAAAAGTTTACAGAATTAAAAAGTGACCACCCCTTTAAAAGGCCTGGAAAGAGCTGCTATTGTGTTGTTCAGTTAAACTGTAGCATCACTAAGGTTATATGTGTTGTGATTTCACTATTGAAAATGAGAAATCTGTTTTTATATTTACCTTTTACATTTTATTTTTTGAAAAAGGGCTGCAACCCTTCTGTACATCTGACTGTGAGACAGTTGTAAAGCTCTAAGCTTTTGTGATTGTGCAGGTCTTCCAATGCGGTTAAAACCAGGGAGATTTATATGACAAACAGAAGTGGCTGAACTGCAGTCTTTTTTTTCCTTTCCTATTGATTGTAATATTTGTTTATATATACATTTGGGGGAAGTGAGACAATGCAGATGATTGTTTCTTATCTTATTGAATATTTAAAATATATGGTCTCACTGCCATGAGTGTCAGACCACTGAAATATAACTTGACATCAGTGTTGTCTTCCCAAAATATTTGAGAATCAAAATTTCTCTAAACCAAACAACACAGTGTACAGACATACAGATAAATAACACGCACTACCAGTATATCTAAAATGTTCAACTGCAGTAAAACCAAAAAGCAAAAATTATTAAAAATAAAAGTTCCTGTTGAGGTGGGTTGTGGAGCAGTGCCTTAGATTGTAACTGTGTGGATATGTTGTGCACAAACTACTACATGCTCAATACAAAAAGATACATTATAAAGAAGCTGAAAATGGGTTTGATGGGTTTGATTACAAGAATGGATAACGGCAGTACTATATTGCTGTGGTATATATAAAAGAATAAACAAATCTGCTACCTGAATAACAACATTTACTATACCATCATATTTAAAGCTCTATTGTCTCTGTATCCCAGGTTCAAGGAGCGTGGTGCACTATTGTTATTATACAATTAATAATTTTTAGAGAATGTGTTTTGACTAGTCCTTGGAGGATAAGCTAGATGTGGTTGTGTCAGAATAAGTAAACATGTTTTATATTGTCCTGTATTTTTTCTATTGTAACATTTGCCATTTTTATACCAACAGAGAAAATGACTTTAGAGAAAATGTAACAGAAAGGTCACGTTTGTTGAATGAAGAAACACTTATAGACAAGATTGCCTTGGCAAATAAACTCTTATGTTTTATCACAACATTCGCAGTTCATCTGATAATACAGTAAGACTGATATGTAACAGGACCGCTTCAATTACTTACATTGTTTAACCTGAAAACTGTACATTATTATGCAAACTCACAGTTGTAATCATAAAATGCATGCCTTTCAGATGCCACTCTTAACACGATGAAACCTCTGAATCTTATGCACCGTGTATTATAATGCTGAAAAACTTGCCACTGTTTGCAAACAAAGGCTATGAACTCTTGCATTGATTAGGGCAGTGTTTTCTCTCACCCTGGCCTTCAAAATGAATGTTTGCATTCAGTTCTGCTTACTGTAAAGAATACAGCAATTTATTACAAATATCATACCTACCTACCCAGTGAGTGTGCATTTGGAACCTTTAGCAATTTCTTTTTTAAAATGCACTAAACGTTTTTTTTATGTGTACGTACATTTGTTTTTGAATATAATGCCAGCACTTTAGAATTTAGATAAATGAAAGACATGTCAAGGATTTAGGAGTGACAAAAGCAACTTTTAAAGCCATGTGCTCAGAGCGCTGACAATCAGAATAAGGATGTGACCCCAAGTGCACTATTGGGAGAGTTGACATGAACTGTGTTAGTGCTGTTTGCTTTGTCATTCTCCAGCTTGCTTTCCTTATAGCTTCTTGCCTACTTTAGTAGAATGGTGAGACAAATAGAGTTGAATGCAGCCTCCTTAGTTGAAGGAGTGTTTTTCTGCAACAAGGATAACTTATGACACTCTTACCTTGGTGCTTCGTTCAGAAAGTTGCCTGTGTTGACATAGGCCAAATCTGCAATGCTCTGGTAAGCATGGGCCAATGTTGGTCCCAAGTATGGACTTACTGGTAACCTCTTCATGGACAACAGTCTATTAATAAATGAACTTATCATGCAAACTGCATTTTGATTAAGGTATTCTTCTCTATCAACAGGGCTTGGACCAGCAAAACTAGAATGGGACACTTTTAATGTTGATACTGCTTTATGTTTCAAATTAAGTGTTGAACTGTGTATGCGCCTTTGACTCAAGCTTCAATAATGTATACAACTGAAATGCAAGTTGCCACTTTTGATGTTGCATATATCTTTCATTCCCATCATGGTATTTGCAATCATCACTTTCAGTTGTGTGATTCAGTATATGATTTGTTGACATGCAATAAAGATCTGCTTTATATTAAAAGGTCCTCACTTCATTAACTTACGCTGACATGTCTGTCTTTCTTTTTTTTTTTTTTTCTTTCTTATAGGCCTAGTCTGAAATTGCTGCGTTATCTCAGACCTTTTTTTTTCAGCTTATTGTATAGCCTCTATATTTTGATCTGAGTAATAAAATAAACAAAGTTTATAAGATGCTTTTGTAGACTGTGAAGTGAGAAACTGTTGATTGTTGATAAACTGATATTAAAGCCAATATGCAAATAAATAACAGATGACAAAATAGGTGACAAAAGGTACAGAAGGGTAAGTGGGATATTGCAAATATTGGAATATTACAGACCCTGTACAAAAATTTTAAATGCAATTGTTTCATGAAAATAACCCAGTTACATTAGTAATTAGCAATACAGGAAGTAAAAAAAATTGTGGAAAAAAATTGTCTTAAGAGAACACACTGTAGCCTAAGGGCAAGGGTCTTTAGTAAGAACTGGATAAGACACGCCCCCTCGGTCCGCGAGCGAGATCGTTTAGTGGCCGCTCCAAGTACTGCAGCTCCCGGGAGGTCCGGCCCAGAATCAGTTTTTCCATTGAGCGCAAAATGCATTTTTTTGTTATATCAAACTGCCCGTGTTCGGTTGACACGGCATCAGTAGCTTCCATAAAGGTCGGATTCTGTAGGGATTCTTCTGTATTTTTACAATATATTTTTACAATATCAAAAAAAAAAAAAAAAAAAAAAAAAAAGCGCCTAAATTCCAGCTTTGCAGCCTCGCTCTAGCAGCTAGCGCTCTGATTGGTCAGAACTTCACGTTTATGACGTCTTGTGTTTTGTGGCGTAAGGCAGTATTCAGGACATGGACGTGATGCGGAAATAAAAATCCCATAGAACTATGATAGAACTATGCGCCACTAAGCCATGCAATCATAGAACTTTATAGATCCATGCCATGATCCATGCATACAATGGGTACAGGCCATTGAACACAAAACGACGCTACTTTCAATTCTTCTTCCAGATTTTATTACAGTTCTGTGCTTACGGGTTACACCCAGAGTACTGTATAAAAACGCAGTTCTAACAAAACAAGTAATAACGTAATGCTAAGATAACTATTCATAATATGCTAATACTTTACTGCGTATTAATACTGCGTATTAAAAAACAATAATACCGTTTTTGTTCTCGTCTCAGAGTGATGACGTAGGATAATGACGCGAGTTAGTGACGACATATCATAGCGCGGTGTGGGTTTTTTAGAGATGAATGTGTTTTTTTGGTAACACATCAAATTTTTTAATTTTTACTATAACAGTTTGGCCAACAACCGGTTGATTCAAAATGAGCGACGACACAGACTCTCCCCCAGAGAGGGAAATGAAAGTAATTTATGCTTTTCTGTTGTTTTGACGGCTTAGCTTAGCATTGCTAACATAATTTAGATCAACGCTTTCTATCATAGTCCCTAGAAATAAGGTAGCTTAAGTTTATGTTTCAGGAGCTACTGTGTATATGTCTTTTGTTTTGATCTATGTTTCTTTAGATTAGTTGCGTTCAACTGGTGTATTGAATAGTATCATGCAACTAGAACCTGTGTTTTTGAAATTGTTGTAATAAATAGTGAAACCAAAACTAAAGACATGATTTACATACAGCGTAACACTTGCCTTGTTACTAGCCATCGAGGATTTAAAAAAAAAACAAAAAAACATTCTGACAAACTCTTAATCGCGAGATTTGTGCATCTGTTGAGTTCATGCAAGTTTTTGTATTTTGTTTTTACAGGATTTTCAATTTCGTCAAATGAAGAAAATCCGTGTGTTTGAGTCACCAGAGGAATTGCCAAAAGATAGAGCCAGTCTCCTCACAATTTCAAACAAGTTTGGATTGACTTTTGTGGGGTTTGGCTCAACATTAAAAGTTTTTCTAACACAAGACCTCCTTGCCGTTGACAAGTCTGATGGCAATGCTAATGAAATAAGTAAGTTTTAAGTGATTTTTTTCCTTGTTCCATTCTCTTTTACTACTCTGATTCTCCCCCTAAAGTTGAAGGAATTGCTGCAGTAGCAGAGGTCGACGTGGGTCTCACCGTACATCACATAGCCCTTAGCTGTGATGAACTGACTCTGTCAGTTTGTGGAATCTCTGACGAAATTTTGTCTTTGACATTTTATGATGTCCGTACCTTCATTAACCAGGTATAACTACATTATATACTTTGTACAATTTCTAAATTCTAAAATTAGAATTATAAACTAAAATGCATTTTAAAAATACCGCTGCAAAATAATTGAATTTGTATCTACTAAATGTTTTGAGATTGTACTGCATATGGAGCAGGGATATACAAATAAAAAAATATATAAGATATGGTACACCCAGGTAAGGTGGTCCTGACCAAGCCTAGCAACAAAACCACTGCTCCTGATAAGGTGCCCCAGCTGCTTTGAAGGATGGGTCAAATGCAGAGGACAACTTTGCCTTAGGGGACAATAAAGTGTACCTTATACGTAAAGGGGAAATATTGAAATTTAGAGTGTTGTAAAGCTGAGTATCAAAACAACAAGTATGTCTCACTCATTTACAATTTGTACATTTTCCACATGCCAAATTTGCAGTCATTATTTTTCATTGCAAAATATCTATGAACCTGAAGTTATTCAAGATTATAATAATAAAAATGCATACTTGAATCATATGCATACAACAAATACTTAACTTACCCTTTGACACTACAGAGGTTTTAAGCGACATCTTTCTAACCTGTTTGATTATTTTGTTCATCAGTTTATCACTAGTCAAATTTAAACATTACTCTCACTGTTACTTCATTAAGTATATATTTTTTTCTTTTAAGGTGTTTTCCATCAGTGGTAAATACCTTTTATAATTTAATTGAATCATAATGTTGTAATTATGACATTTCTGACATGACAAAAATTCGATTTTAACAATAGTAGTGTTCCAAGTAGTGTTCCAACAACTAATCATATTAAAATAGTTAATGATACTAAAATTGCAGTTTCAACTTTGTATTTTCTGTTTTAGACCAGAGCCCAGAAGTTACCATTTGCACTCCTACAGCCTACAGTGCAATCAAATACTTTGGTGCAGGATCTTAGATGGAACCCAGTTGCAGCATCTATGCTGGCAGTTTGCCTTTCTGATGGCAGCCTGATGATTCTGGATGTTGGTGACACTGTTGTAGTGCAAGCAAACTTGCCAAATTCCACAGGCATTACAAGCAGTAAGTTTCACATTTTTAATCTATTGTATAACTTTAATTGATTCTTCTCGAAATTCATCTTAAATTGTATGATTTTACAGTTTGTTGGAGTCCAAAAGGAAAACAAATTGCTGCTGGAAAAATGGATGCCACAGTCTGTCAATATATACCAGTAAGGAAATTAACATAAGATACTTTGTTTACTGTTTATAAGAGTGTATAAGTAATATTTTTCATTGGAAAAGACCCTGGAAGAAAAGAAAAGAATTCCTTGTCCAAACTTTTATACCCCTGACAACCCTGTCAAAGGTATGAATGCTTTCACAACATGAGCTATAATTGCAGTTCATGTTCATTGTAAGTGTTGTAACAAACCCTTTTTTTGCTATAGTTCTGGATGTGTTGTGGTTGAGAACATATGTGTTTGCTGTGGTTTATGCTGCTGCAGATGGTTCCCCTGAAACACCACCTGATCTTGTGGTGGTTTTGTTGCCAGTAAGTATGCCTAAAAGCCGCCATACACTACATTAGAATTTGCCCAATTTTGGCTGTCATTTGCTTCTTCCTGAGTTTGGGGAGGTATGACCCGACTTTGTGTTTTTGTTAGAAATCTGTCATGTCATAACCACCAAACATGAGCAACACTGTCAGGGGCAGATGGAGTGACGAACATAGAGGTGCAAGATACAAACTCGGGATATAGCAAAAATATTGAGATGACTTTATTACTCACCTCTAGTAAAGTTCTAAATTCAAACTGCAGCATCTCATCCACATTATCCATAGAATTTGCCCTCCGCAAATAATGACACCCAGTCCCCAAAACTGCGCTCTTAATCCAGTTTAAAGTGTTCTTTAAAAGTGAAAAGGCGAGAGTAATTCCTCACGTGTGTCTGTTTACATCCACACAGGGCGCGGATCGGGTTGAAGCTGCAGATTAGCGATAGTGACTCTACTTACTGTGTACTTTATCGCCAGCTGTCTGTGCATTAAAAATCATGTATCTGAAGTATTGCACCTCATTTCACAAATAATAATAACAACACAGTTTTGTCTTGAATCTAAACTGGAAGTGCATGGTTTTACTGTAGACAGCTAACAGCTGATGCAAGGTGCACTCACAACTTTATAGCCTGTGGTACGCAGCCATATGCCGCTGCAGTCCTTGTGATCAGAAATTTCATCACATTCTCCTCGTGTCTGTGGTGTGCACTTTTTGTCACAGATTTAAGAATCGTAAGACAGAAAAATCCTGTAGTGTGTGGCAGTCATATTATTATTATTAATATTACAAATTAAAAAACAAATTAAACCACCTGGTGGTTTGTGAGGTGAAGCAATTGATTCAATGGTTGCCTGAAGTAAAGCTGATGATGGTGTATGGCATTAAAAACACAATTCTGGAACTTCCAGGAGGGCCTCCAAGTTTAAATAACCTACTTCTTTACGGCAAACCTCAGCTCTTGTAACATTTTATGTTTGCAGAAAAAGGAGGAGAAGCAAGAGACAAAATATCTTAATTTCACTGACCCTGTTTATGGAAGCTGCACTGAGAGGCAGCACCACTACTTTCTCAGCCAAATAGAGGAATGGTGAGCGTTTAATTCATAATAATTTTTTATTTAATTAGATTAAATAAAAAAAACTTTGTTCCTTTTAGGGACCTGTTTTTTGCAGCTTCAGCAGCTTCTCTTGAAGTCTGTCCCATTGCTCGGCAAGATGATAAGGTAACTTGTGTTACTTTCTAGGACTCTATGTAAAGGTTATGCTTTGTTTTTGTTGTGGATATTTTTCAGGAATATTTTCAATATTTTTTTTTAAATAGTATCTGATATTTAATTTAATATACTTTTGTATTTAGAACTGGGAATTGTGGATTCTTGAGGATTCTAGTCGGGCAGAGCTTCCGGTGACTGAAACCAGTGAAGATACCTTTCCACTTGGCTTGGCAATAGACTTTACAAACCAACAGGACATTCGCATATGTACGTTACATTTTTTATTAATAAACACTTTTATTGATTGAAATGATTATCTGTTAAACCTTTCCCGAAGTGTCATTGTCACTGTTCCAACATTATCCACTACAGTCACATCGATGTGGGGCTGGTCATATAATATTAGTGTACAAACAGAAATGTGGAGAAATTATATGCAGTGTGTGTGGGCATTTATTTAACCTAGTCTCTTCTAGTTATTATTGTTCCTCCAGCATCATCTGCAGTAGAATGTGATGTGTAACGAATAGTGATTAGTCCACTGTTATCTAAACTGGCCCAGTCGGACAGACATTCACGTAGAGCTGCTGCTGCTGTCTGGTAACATCTTTCTTCTCATTCTTAACAGCAGAAAATGCACCTCCATTTTCAGAAACAAGACTTTGTCTATTCAAACCTATATCTGCCATTTAACATTAGAAGAATAGAATTGTTTATTGCTGTTCAAATTGATAAGATAGAAGGACACAACATCACAGTCCAGACAGTCCTGCTGCTGAATGCCAATGAGCTAACCACGTGTACACTTCCACATACCCATCTCTGTTCAGTACTACATTGAAGTTACTTTGTTAAAACTGCTTCATGGGGCTTTGTTGTTGCTGTTAAGTTTAGTCAAGTCATTAGTGCAACATTTGGTGTTACAGCTGTGTTGCTTATTTTATTGTCTGGATGGGTTTAATGCTTTTATTAAATAACTCAAGCCCTTATTTATATTCTAGCTGATGAAAAGACGTTGCCTCCAGCACCTGTAATGCTGGTGCTATCTACGCATGGGTTACTCTGCCCATTCACATTGCTAAACTTGAACCCGGGGATGAAGCAACTGGTATCTCATCCCACACCTTTGCCCTTGGAGGGGGAAAGGCCACCTAAACCAGGTAAAAATGTGTTTTCCATAAGTTAACAAAAGCAAAAAAAAAAAGTGTATAACGGTGTAATGACTTGCAATATTTTGATGTGAACATAGTGTAATGCCATGTCTTGCCTGCAGCTGCAACTATATCTCAGAAGACTCCTCCATCAATCCCATCTGCCCCAACAACAATTACAGCCTCTGTTGCACTGACTCCTCCTGCCCCTGCAGTGCCCCCTGCTGCACCCTTCAGCACTGCACCTGACGCTCCTGTGTCATCTTCAGGCTTCACATTCTCAGTTCCTTCGACTTGTGCCACTTCTGCTCCCTCTGCTTTCTCACTTGGTGCATCAACAGCCTTTGGTTCAGGGGCCCCAAGCTTCTCCTTTGTCTCTAAACCCCCCTTCCGAAACACCTTCAGCATTGTCTGCGTTCTCCTTTAGTACCCCCTCCACTAAACCTTTGTCTGTGACCACTTCTACGCCTACACCCCAGACTGTTGCTACACCACCTGCTGTTAAACTCAATCTTACTGAAAGGTAAAGCTTAATTCAGATATAATATTATCTTAAGGTTGTAACACATTTTGATGCAATTCACTGTTTTTTGACAGATTTTCATCACTAGAGGCAACCACTCCACCCCTGCAGCCATTTTCATTCATATCATCTGCTCCTAAAACAGTTGCTTCTAACTCCAGTAACTTCATGGCCCCTTCCATGCCAGCTCCCAAACCACCTGCTGTGTTAGGTAAGTCAAAAATTTTTAGGTTCGTAAAACATACCTGGTGTTTTACACTTCCTTTATTAACTTGACCATGTCATAGCCCCTGTGCGGCCAGTCCAAACCAGTACACCTGCCACTGTTGTCCAGAAACCTACGCCAACAGCACAACCCCCAGTACAGACATCACAGGTTTGTTTTAATGTATTTTACAATACTGTATTATTGTTTGTGGTTTTAAATGGTCTTATTTAGGGGATATTTATACTTTCAAAGCAAATTGCGTTAACATTTATAAGATACTTTTACACATGTAAGTGGGTGACGTTACATCAAACTGAGTACTTGTCAGTCAGTTAAGGTGGGTGCCATGCAAGTAGCAATCAGATTGACAAAGCTATAGTATTCACTTACTATTGTACTGCTGTTATTTTAAAATTTTATCATGGGATCTTTGTATGAACAAACATTCAGCATGTTTCCTTAATTAGCTTGTAGTAAATGTGTATCAGTAGTTTAAAATTTCTTGTTTTACTTTTCTTTAAAAAACTTAGAATTAAAACATTTGTCATTTCTCATTCTCAAATTGTTGACTGGGAATTTTAATATAAAATATGTATCTATATATATTTTATTATTTCTTAAAAATGGATGGGAATGGATAATGGATAAATACCATACATGGATAAAGTCATTCCTGTCTAAATATGGACAACAATTTTAAAAACTGCATTAACAGTCTGCACTGTTGGTTGTTCATAGCAACAAGAATTAAGTGTGAGGCTAACTGCTCCTAACTTATTTTAAGTTTTAATTTGTTATCATTAACACGACATACTATTGCAGGGTGCAGTTAGTGTAAAATCCTTTGAAAAGCAACTACAGCCAAAGAAAGATTCTGATCCAATAATGGCTGGCATATTTGAGGAGGTGAGTGTGCTCATGTATTTTAACATTACAACATGATCTTCTTAATTATAATTACATTATGGATTCTATATATTTATCTTAAGATTGCACACTTTCAAAAAGAACTTGACGACCTTAAAGCGAGAAGTGCAAAAGGTGACTTTAAGGTTGGCACCAATGAAGAGATGAAGGAGCTGAGGAAGGAGTCTGAAAACATGCACATTTTTACTCTGGAGATAAAAGAAACCACCGAAGTAAGACAAATATTCATAATACATACAGATTCCCACTTTCTGCCCAAATGTGCTTGCAGTCCTAATGCCCCAAAGACACTTTTCTGTGTTTCCTTCAGTCACTGCATGGTGATATTGGCATGCTGAAAACGACACTGCTGGAAGGATTTGCTGGAGCTGAGGAGGCCAAAGCACAGAGTGAACTGAGCAAAGGCCGACATTACAGACATCTTCTGTACAAGAGACCTCTAGATCCACGCAGTGATGAACAACTGAAGGTTAGAGACAGTGAAAGGCACATAATACAGAGTTATTATAACTGCTCTAATTAATTCATTTTGTGATCATCTCAACAAGGAAATCCGTCGGTTGTATCAGTATGTCATGTTTGCGGTGGAAGATGTCAATGACGTCTTGGATGTTGAATGGGAGAAACATTTGGAAAAGAAGAAAAAGCAAAAGTAAGCTGTTTAGTTTATTCTTTAGTTTTCAGGGATCTTGTACAAATTCATTAATCCAAAACCCACCACACACTACAGGATTTTTCAGTTTACGGTAACTATATTTAAAAGCGCAATTAAAAAAGCGCCTACCACAGACACGAGGAGAATCATATGAGATTTTTAATCTTCAGCTTCAACATCTCATACGAAGACACAAGTTCAGATCACGCCTCCCTGATGTCCGGGAGAAACAAATCGGGTGCTAATTCAGGCAAATTATCCTTTAGTGTCTTGTTGGCTTTACATAAGTAACTTCTGTTCCAGTTGTTGTATGTGCATTACAATCACTAATTCTTTTATCCCAGTTTCCACCCCACTATTGGAATGTACTTTTTTCAGGACATGTATGCACATATACACACAAACACACACACACACAAAATACTGTTTAAAAGTTTTAGGCAGGTGTGAAAAAATGCTGTAAACAAAGAATGCTTTCAAAAATATAAATAATGTTTGTTTGTTTGTGTTTATCAATTTACAAAATGCAAAGTGAGCAAAAGAAAAATCTAAATCAAATCAATATTTGGTTTTACTACCTCTTGCCTTCAAACCAACATCAATTCACACAAAGCGGTACACACAAAGTCAGGGAATTTGTAGGATTATAGTCAGGTGTATGGTCAACCAATTATACCAAACAGGTGCTAATGATCATCAGTGTCACACATAGATTGGAACACAGTCATTAACTGAAACAGAAAGAGCTGTGTAGAAGGCTTAAAACTTGGTGAGGAACAACCAAACTCTGCTTCCCAGGTGAGGTTGTGGAAGACAGTCTCATGTAACAGGGCATACACCATGGAATGTCTGAGCACAGCAACAAAACAATGCAGTTATACTGCATCAGCAAGGTATCTCCCAGACAAAGATTTCAAAGCAGACTGGGGTTTCAAGATGTGCTGTTCAAGCTCTTTTGAAAAAGCACAAAGAAACGGGCAAAGTTGAGGATCGTAGACGCAGTGGTCGGCCAAGGAAACTTAGTGCAGTTGATGAAAGACACATCAAGCTTATTAGGCTTCGGAATCAGAAGTTGTCCAGCAGTGCCATCAGCTCAGAACTGGCAGAAACCAGTGGGACCCAGGTACACCCATCTACTGTCCGGAGAAGTCTGGCTAGAAGTGGTCTTCATGGAAGAATTGGAGCCAAAAAACTATACCTCCGATGTGGATACAAGGCCAAGCGACTTAAGTATGCACAAAAACATAGGAACTGGGTTGCAGAAAAATGGCAGCAGATGGTCTGGACTGATGAGTCAAAATTTGAGATATTTGGCTGTAGCAGAAGGCAGTTCATCGAAGGGCTGGAGAGCGCTACAATGATGAGTGTCTGCAGGCAACAGTGAAGCATGGTGGAGGTTCCTTGAACATTTGGAGCTGCAGTTCTGCAAATGGAGCTGGAGATTTGGTTAGGATTAATGGTGTTCTCAATGATGAGAAATACAGGCAGATGCTTATCCATCATGCAAGACCATCAGAGAGGCGTATGACTGGCCCTAAATTTATTCTGCAGCAGGAAGATGACCCCAAACATACAGCCATAGTCATTAAGAACTATCTTCAGCGTAAAGAAGAACAAGAAGTTCTGGAAGTGATAGTATGGCCCCCACAGAGCCCTGACCTCAACATCGAGTGTGTGAGGACATGAAGAAACAGAAGGATGTGAGGAAGCCTACATCCACAGAAGGTCTGTGGTTAGTTCTTAAAGATGTTTGGAACAACCTACCAGTCGAGTTCCTTCAAAAATTGTATGCAAGTATACCTAAAAGATACTCTTTTGAAGGCAAAGGGTGGTCACGCTAAACGATTAACACTTCAATTTTTGAAGGCATTCCTAATATACAGCATTTTTTCACACCTGCTTATAACTTTTGCACAGTACTGTATACACACACACGCGTGCACACACACACGTGTATGTCATGTATATATATATATATATATATATATATATATATATATATATATATATATACACACACACACACATATACATTATATTATATATATTTATATATATATATATATATATATATATATATATATATAATAATGTATATGTATGTATATACATATATATACATACATGTATATACACACACACACACACATATATATTATATATATACACACACACACACACACACACATATACATTATATATATATACACACACACACACACACACACACATATATACATTATATATATATACACACACACACACACACACACACATATATACATATATATAATTAGGGCCGGGCACATTAACGCGTTAACTAATTAAGTCATTAACGCCGACAATTATTTTAACGCCGTTAACGCAGTTTTTATTATTTATTTATTTATTTTATTGTAAACGTCTGTTTCTCACTGGCTTTTATTTTGAAAAGTCCACCGCGAGCGTTTGACGTCTTTTCTTTACACTTTTTTCTGACCACGTGAGATGCAGCGGGCCCGGCCGTGGCTTTGGCCGCAGGCTCCGACTCCCGTCGCGGCTCCGGCCGCGGGTTCAGCCACGGGTTCAGCCGCGGGCACCGGCTCTGGCCGGACCAACCGTGTGCTCTGAGCTGAGCTTATTTCATTAGTTCAGTGCTGGAGTAACTGATTTACCCAGATACCATTGGAAGAAAAAATTTGATTGGTCCATTTCCATTCCATTATATTAACCCTTTGTTTCCTAAGAAATATCAGTCCAAGTTTGTAACACTGATCTAGAAATTATTACTAGTGTAGTGTTCATTAGTCACAGCATAAAAAATATTCAATAAATATATTAGTAGTACAAACGTCCATTCAGTATTTTTTCTTGAGCCTTCCCTGAAAACCTTGAAGGCTCTGAGGGTTCCCCTGTGAAAGAAATGCTGTTTGCACATCAAATGTATGGCTCTTTCATTTACATTTCCAGTAAAAGAGCGCTATACTCTACTTTTTTCGCTTGAACTCATGCGATTAATCGCGATTTTAAAAATTTATTTTTGCCCAGTCCTAATATAAATAAATAAATAAAATTATAAAACTTTTTTTTTTTCTCCCCAGGCATATGGTTGTACCAGGGCGTGAAAGCCTTTTCACTACACTGTCTAACAATCAGTATATTATAAACCAGCAGAAGAACAGACTGGATCAGTTGGTTAAACAACTGACATCACTGCATCTCTACAATAAGTCACAATCTATAACAAGCAGCACATCAGCAGCTACATCTACGTGAGTACTGGTTATGATTCTCTTAAATGCATAATAAGCTTTACATTTATATGTCTTAATATATACATCACTTTGTTTATATATTCTGTTGTAGTATGGATGATGAGCTAGACAGTTTAAGGGATGCACTTTTAAAAGCTAAACTTGAAAGCTCCCCTAAAGACACTCCAAAATACACAGGTAAAAAGTGTAAGTTAAATTAATTATATTGAAAATGTGTACAAATAAAATATCAACAACTTATAACTTTTATCTTTTACAGCGGCCAAGATCTCACCTGTGAAACAGTCTCAACTGCGCAACTTTTTATCAAAGGGTCAAATGCCACCTGTCCGCTCAACTGCACCAGGTTAAATTTCTAGAACATTTACTGAAGTTGTTAAGTGAAATTAGGAGCAGCAAACTAACTAACCTTCTTTATAATTATTAGCCAATCTTTCACGCTCAGCCTTCCTTTCACCAAAATACTATGAAGACCTGGATGATGTGAGCTCTACATCCTCTGTGTCCCAGTACTTGGATCCTAACCCACGTCACTTGGAGCTGGAGGAAGAAGAGGAAGAGGAGGAATTGCAGCAGGCGTCTTTACCTGTTATCCCTCACACACTGTCAGCTCCCCGGCACCCCACGGTTGTAAGGACACCCTCTATCCAACCAGGCTTTGGTGCCATTCAGTCTACTCCTTTAGCCAAGCTTCAGTCTTTGCAGACGATGGGCTTTGGACTAAGCCCTATTCCGAGCCCAGGTAATTAGAAGATCCCATCATTTCCCATACAATTGTAATTAGTGACAATGTAACTTATTTTGGTGATGTTTATTTTTAGTCCCAAGTAATAAGATAAATCTTAGTGGAGCTGAAAGTACTGCACTTGCCACAAAGACTGTCAAACATCTCCCAGTAGAGCGAACTCCTGTCGCCATGTCTGCCCAGCAGGCTGCAGGGACTGCTGCTATGCGCAGACAAATGGCCATTCAAAAGCCAGGTGGGTTTGCTATAATGTTTCGTTAAAGCGTGTTGGTGGCAGAATATGCACTTTTGCATGTTACTCAGTAGGGGGAGACAGGATTCCATTTGTAACCGGTATAATCCCTGTATACCTTGTACCTCCGCCAAGGAGGTTATGTTTTTGCCGGCGTTTGTTTGTTTATTTGTTTGTTTGTTTGTCTGTTAGCAACATAACTCAAAAAGTTATGGACCGATTTTGATGAAATTTTCAGGATTTGTTGGAAATGTGAAAAGGAAGAACTGATTTAATTTTGGGGGTGATCCGGAAGAAATCCTGGATTCTGGATCACTTTGAAATTTTAGTTAACATTGTGATAAATGGGGCCAAAAATTTTGTTTCTCAATATCTCAGTTAATTATTGACCAAACCCCAATGAAATTTGACTCAGGGATTGACAATGGGATGCTCTTTCATATTCCAAAGGCTGATCCGGATCTGATCCAGAAGACTGATTTTATCGCAATTTATATAAAAAATGGGGGTAGTCCTTGGCGGAGGTCTGCGCTCTCTGAGTGCTTTTCTAGTTTAGTTATGTTTTTCTGACAGTTTTAATTTTTTGACAGATGCTTCTGTTTTTCCCATACCTGCAAGCAGTGCAACATTGACAGAATCTACCCTAAAGACAGTTCCTCAGGTTGTAAATGTCCAAGAACTGAAAGACAAAGGATCTGTCCCGGTTTCTTCTGTCACTGGGTAAAGTCTTACTTTTGTATTATTTTTTGTGTTTGAATACAGTTTCATTCTCAGGCACTGGAAAGGAGCGTCTACGGAAGTAATAGTAGTAGTCGAATTGGACTGAATTAAATCTGTACATCTGTATCTATTTTAAATGTGATACACATAATCATTTGAAGTAAAAGAAAATAAGATTGCAAACAAGCGGCTGAATACTAGTTATCAGTACTGTTTTATTTTCATTAAATTTCCATTTTCCAACTCAATATATTTGAAAAATAAAATGTAACAGAACTGCTACATACTTGAATGAGTAGTTTAATTTTGATGATCTTCTGAAATGTTTCAGATCATCAGTACCTAACCCAGCAGCTCAAGTGGTTCAGCAAGTTTTGACTACAGTGCCCTCTAATCAGGTGAAAAGAGTGAGTATTTATAAAGTATATTGATTGTATAATTTACTGTGTTACTGTGATCTCATTACTACTGTGTTTTTGAATTGGAGACCATCGGTTTGAATTGCACTAAAAGATTTCCGCCATAATTATTGCAAATTGGAATTTAAATCTAACCAACTAAATTGCTAGTGTCACAAAACACAAACATCAACTCTTCTTCCCTCTGCTGGCCATTCAAGCAGTTTGCAGTTTCTCAATAGAGACTGATGGTGTTCTCTGGCTTCTTGATAATTTAACATGTGGTAATTTGTTATTTTCTTAGATACCAGCCCAAGTTTCCCAGATTTCAACTGAAAGTGTGGCTAGTTCACAGATGAGTTTTGTTTTTGGTAAGCATTGTTAACACTTGATATTTAGATTGTATAACATGCCTAAAATCACTCTTTTAGTTGGTGTCTGAATATTTTTGGCTTGTTCAGGGATGTCTACAACTACTTCTGCAGCAGAGCAAAACAACAGTAAAGGGTTCTCCTTTACTTCGCCGTGAGTAGTTTTACTAAAATTTTCCTTGTTTCACAATTGTTGTTTTCTAGAGGACAGCTTTGGTGTTTTGTTTTTTTTTGTTTAGTTTCATCAGCACTTACAGTTTTATATAGTATTTGATAAAATCATTTGTTCATTGTTCTTTAAAAGTCTCTTCTTGGTTATGGTTTGTTTCAATAGCCCTTTTATTATTTAACAGCTCTACACCCTTCAGTTTTACATCTGTTGCACAGGGAAATGGAAATTCACAAGGTAAACTACCACTAATATATCTTTAGGTTTTTAAGATTCTTCTTTCATGTTTATTTAAACTTTTTTTTTTTTTTTTCCAGCAAAAGAAACTACCAGTAAATTTTCATTTGGAAGTAGCAAAACTGTCTTTGGTTCAGCATCTGAGGAGCCGTTTTCTCTCACCCCAAAGTCCACATCTCCTACGTTTGGTAATTCATCCACCCCAAGCACCGTCGTGGAAGTGGCCAAACCGCCTTCCTCCTTATCAGCACTTCTCACAGAGCCACAACACCCCAAGACGACAACTGGGGATACACTGGGTGTCTTTACGGATATTCGTTTAGGTCAAGGTGAAGCTAAAGATACTCCTAGTAAACCTGCTTTCAGCTTTGGCGACAGTGGACTTGAAACAGGAAAGGGAGCTACACAGCTTAGTTTTGGGGCAACCATCCAGAAGACAACTGAAGAGTCTACTGGAGCTGAGCAACCAAAGGACAGTCTGTTTAAGCCTCCGGATTCCACAACGAAACAGGCTTTCTCTGTTCCCCAGTCAAGCTCTATATCCACATCTTCACCAACATCTTTAGTTAGTCTGCTCTCAAAGTCTTCTTCAGAGTCTTCTTCAGGTGACCCTAAAGCTCTGGCCCCAGTCCCTGAGCTCTTACAGCCCCCTGAGAAACCAGCCGAGACACCAAATGTGGAGCCTTCCAAACCTGCGGTGGCTGAACCTGAGACAGTAGAAACCCAGGAGGCTGCAGCCATTGCTCCTGTGCCGGACAATCCAGCTCCTAGCCCCTCACCCCCCGCAGCAGAGGCCTCTCAGACCTCCGTCTCCCCTGCCTCGGAGCCTTCCACTACTCCAGCGCTTCTTACATCAGATCCTGCTCCTGTATCTGCAGCCCAAACCACACCCTCACAGATGACTAGTTCTGATACACCTGGCTCTATATTCACCCAGCCTCTACCTGCTACCACAGACAGTACCACTGTGGTAGCTTCACCAGTCATCAATACTGTTGCCAATACAGCAACCACACCAACCCCCACTGTTGTAGTCACTGCCACCACCACTACACCTGTTTCTGTATTTGGGCAACCTGCTGCTGTACCTGCCTCTTCAGCCGCCTCTGTGCCCTCAACTGCAGCACAGCCCACATCTTTCACTTCAGCTGGATTTGGTTCAGGTTTTGCAACCCCTGCGTTTGGCCAAGTCAGTGGCTTTGGTCAACCTGTCAGTAGCTCTGGAGCATCTGGTGGCTTTTCATTTGGTCAGACTTCATTTGGTGCAAGTCCAAACACAAGTGCCAGTGGTGGTCTTTTTGGAGGTTCTACAGCAAGCAGTGTGAGCTCCTTCTCCTTCGGAACTAGCAGTGCTAACACAGCTAGCAGTGCTAACACCGCTAACAGCACAGGCACCAGCCTTTTTGGACAGAGCACAACTGCTCCAGTTTTTGGTCAGAGCTCAGGGTTTGGCCAGGCGTCTGTATTTGGAAGCAACACAACAACGTCGTCCTCATCAGGCTTCAGCTTTGCACAACCATCAGGTGAGTGGTACACACAGCAATGCAGTGCTTGTTTTATTTATTACAGGTGTTTTTTTACTATTATTATATATATATATATATGTCATTCACTGAAACATACTGCATGATAAAAAACAGAGACAATTTATTATACTGTCTCTAAATTCTTCACACTTTATAGACATTTCTATTTGGGGAAATTATGTGAAATTGGCACGTGATGGAGTGTCACTGTAGTTGAATATGAACAGATTTATGGTTGTTTTAACTCTGACTTACATAAGTCTGGACACATGGATCAGTTTGGTAGAATAAGACAGTCTTGTGACTAATTTTTCCTTAAAAACTATTATTAATAATATATTACTTTTCATTTTACAGGGTTTGGTTCCTCTGCCACCCCTGCTTTTGGCCAACAAGCTAGCACTGGCAGTGTTTTTGGACAGGTATAATTTGAACATTTACACTACAGTTGATTACATCTTAATGACAATGCCATATTTTTCTCAGCAGCAAGCATCCTCTGGCGGTAGCCTGTTCGGCTCCACAGGCAACACTACTGGCTCCTCTGGTGGAGGCTTCTTCAGCGGGCTCGGAGGCAAACCCAGTGAAGATGCGGCTAACAAGAACCCATTTGGTTCTACAGCTTCCACTGGAGCCTTTGGGCAACCTGCACAGACAGGTACTGTTTAGTCTCTCTACCTGCACTTCGACTCCACTCTGACTCTGATCTGTAGTCACTGAAACTTACAATATTGTTTAATACTTGTCATTTAAAACAACTAACATACTTTCTGTTAAATGTTAAATGATAGGGAACAACAGCCTCTTTGGGAACAGTGGAGCCAAGGGCTTCAATTTTGCGCAATCTGCTTTTGGAGAGCAGAAATCTACTGGGACCTTTTCTGCAGGAAGTGGAAGTGTGGCAGCACAAGGCTTCGGTTCATTCTCTACCCCAACAAAACCAGGTACAGATTTGAGAGTAGCTTAGCAACCACTGTTTCTGCTACTTTGGTGCAAAATATTTATGTCTTTTAGCATGGCACTCATCTTATTATTGTGCAATGACACAAATTATCTCCTTGTCCAAGTACAGTAGAAATTGATGAGACTGAGACTGGTCTCTATTTGACTTTTACCTCTGTTCTGACATACATCTATTAATATGTGTGTAAATGTGTTGTATAATACTGCTCTGGTACATAATATTTAGACCTACTGTATTTCTGCAATAAAACGTTCCATCAAGGCGTATACTGTAATTATTAGTCATTGTTTAAGCTTAAAGCATTGCATATAAAGAAAAAATATCCCCCTTTACTATGTGGTACTTCATTTTAAGGTTGCTAGTGCTGTATGCAAGTATACAAATTATTTAAAATTGTCTGTCTTCAGCAGCTGTTGAAACCTAGTACCAGTTTGTACTAATGCCCTATTTCTGGCCATTGTAGAGGGAATGTAATCTTATTACTTTGGCTCAATCAATTATTTACTGGGCCATAATGCTTGGGCTGTAATTTCATCGCACAGTGTCCACTCCTCTTTGGGCTTGTGGCAGCAATGTCTAATGCTAGCTCAAGACTCTAAACACTCTAGGACAAATTATTACTTGTGGAAGTTGCAACATAATGTTTATCTATATGTATTCTTTTCAATAAATTCTCACCCTCTTCTTTCAGGTGGCTTTGGCAATGCACCTGTGTTTGGTAGTTCTCCTTCTTTCGGCGGTTCACCTGCATTTGGCAGTGGAGCAACTTTTGGGACAGCCCCCTCTTTTAGCAGCCCTCTGGGGTCATCTGCTGGCAAAGTGTTTGGGGAAGGAACAGCTGCTTCAAGCATGGGAGGATTTGGGTAAGAGATCAGTTATATTTATTTTGTAATTTTGTCCATATTTGTTACAAATAGTACTACAACATTTCATAAGAGATAGAATTTGTTATTTTTTATTTTTATTTAACCCTTTGTCTCACCACGTTAAACCATCTTCTTTATGGAAATTAGTCAAAATCTATGAAGGTCTGAGCAGGACTAGATTATCCCACTCAGATAATCTGTCAGAGCGCATTCTGCCTGCAGATTACACTGGCCTGCTATCCCTTACATTCTCTCTATGCAGAGGGTGTGGGTCCTCCTGAAGGGATTATTGCTAAAACCCCCTTTCTCAATCCTCTAGTCCCCTCACAGACACACTTATATGAACACTGTCTACCTTGGATCAAAAATAAAGAAGAATCCAAATGTATCCAAATATGATTCTAATGTGATCATGTTTATTGGGTGATTATTATTCATTTATGTATATTACGCAAATGACTTAAATTTAAAACCTTTTCAGATTTGGCAGCACTTCTAATGCCCCCACATTCGGTGCACTAGCTAATCAGAGCACCCCTTCATTTGGGGCTCTATCCCAGCAAGGGTCCACCTTTGGAACTCAGCCCAGTGGCTTTTCAGGCTTTGGGCAGCAGCAACAAAGTGGAGGTGAGAATATTGCAATTGGTCATCTTAAGTGAACTTGTTGTACTTTGTCATCTAATACTTACTAATTTAATATATATTGTAGGGTTTTCTGGAAACGCTTTTGGATCATCTAATCAGTAAGTAGTTGATAAATAATTAGTAGCCTCCTTTGTTGGATCTTTAGATTTCCCTCCACAACACTGCTCCTACTTGCCATTGTCTTGATTCTGTTTAGGTCCCCCTTTAAAAATATAACAGACTGTCTCAATGGCAAGCTGTAAACTACATGTTTTTATAAGATTTCTTGACTGTGCGTGTCTGTGTATGTGTCTGCATCTGCGTCTGTGCACATGTGCGCGTGCACGTGTGTGTGTCTGTACGTGCGTGCATGTCACATGGCAGCAGAAGTCCTCAGGCTGTCTCTCGGTAGAGTGCACTCTGAGGAGGACAGGAGTATACAAATGAGGCTCATTGAGCATGGGGGCTATGTTCCTCTTTACTCTTCATGATTAATTTTGAATACTTGTATTCAAATGAATAGACTCCTCAATATGCATGTGTATTGAAGGGTGGGAGATGTACATAAAAATGATAATATTGTAAATCTGTTTTTTGGAGAAATGTTTAATTAGAATATTGAGCAAATCATCTATTATAGCAATTATTGAAAAAAAGGCTGCAAATAAGGGTTCATGTGATTTTATTTATTTTTATTTTTTTTCCCACACATGAATCTCAACCACAGCATTTACAGGTGTGTTTTATCACATTTGTAAAGGATTCTCATGTTTGAATATTTCCATCAGGATAATAAAGAAAAATTTTATTTTTTTTTCCATTATTGCCTACCCATATTTATTGATGCCTTAAGGCACTGAATAGTTAGCACTTGAAGTTTGCCTTCTGTTAATGTATATAACATTTGTGGTTTTCTCATTTCCAGATCAAATTCAACATTCAGTGGCTGGAGATAATATGGTTAAACGAGATTAATCAAGCCAAATGTATTTGTACAGCACATTTAAAAACAACCACAGTTGACCTAAGTGCTGATCATGCAACAGTGAAGCCCAGTACACACCATAAAACAAGAAGTTTATCTCTGTCACTATAATTAGAATATTGAAAAAATTACCTTATAATAGTTACTTGTGTTTTTCATTTCTCAAACTTGGTTTTCTTTTTGTGAAACTTATAGTGTAACATGTAACATTTTGTTTCATGTGGCACTTGTTTGGATCAAGTACTTCATTCAGATATATAATGTTGATTGTAAAAAAAAAAAAAAAAAAATGTTTTCTATTCTTGCTACATTTTTTCATGTTAATGTAGACAAACGTTGCCTAGAATAATTGTATTTTAATAAAACCACAGCTTTACAAACCCATGTCTTAATTTTTAGAACTTTTTGGCTCCTTGGCATAAACATTCTTTTGTGTTAGTTTGCATTTTTTACGTGAGGCTCATGGACGATCCCTGTATCTTTGGTAAAAGTCAGATGCTAAATCATGCTTAATATTCAGCTCGCTGTTGAATCTTTGGACTATGGAGTAAAAGACACTGACTCATCCAGTATTGGACTTGAGCTATAAAAATAAAAGATAAAATAAGCATTTGCCCTTTTCTTAGACTACTACCTTAAAATTGGAAAAGGCATATGCACTATGCCAGTGTCACTTTGTCCAATTCTGAGAGCCATCACAGGGCTGGTCAGGGAGCACTGGAGCCTCAGAAGTGGAACTGTTTTGTCAGGGCCACATTGAGACATGTCCTTGCCCACCCTACTGAACAAATGGTAACTCCAACCGTACAATGACCGGTGAGTTGTTGTGGTACTGTTTTTTTAGAATCAAAAGTCTAAGATAGTCTCACCCGTGCTTCGGCAGCTGTCTTCATGGCATTCAGATAAAAATAGATTGGTCAAAAGCCCCCTTAGAACCTCCCCCTCCCGAACTCTTTCTCCTCCACCCATTTCTCAGCATACCCTGCATTGAAATGTTGACACATTTATCATCTGCACCACTTTGCCACATATTTAGTCTACATATCTACCTACACTGCCCAAACACAATGCAAGCAATAGACTTTCCTACTTGCTGATAATGTTATGGGCTACTGTGGATGGGCATAATCCAATAAACTTCACAACTGTTACTTTTTTTGTTCCTGCCTATGACTAGTTAGAAAATAATGAAAGGGGAGGTATTTCAGTGATGCTTTAGCTGAACTAAAAGCAGGGGATTATCATGGTGGTATTTACTAACAACTTCAACTTTTTTGCAAAAAAGAGATTAAAAAAAAAATCAGGGCATGCTAAAGAGGGCCTTCATTTTGTTTGTTTATTTAACAAATCTAATCTGAAAGAACTTTGCTTTCAACATTAGGTCATTGTTACCAGATAGACTTTAATTACCTGATTTTCACTGGTTTCATTCTCTCACTCTGTCTGCCTTTAACTAACTGATAGAGATTACTTTACTCACTTATCATGATAAGATTTGCTATCTCAATCAAACTTCAGTTATCACTACATTAGCTCAGCAGAAGCCAATATTCACAGATTTTGTCCTATGTAAAAAACACCACTCTTGAAAACTATTGAAAGTTGATGCAAAACCAACAATTATTAAACACTTTACATTCTAAGTGTATTACACTTGGAATGGTTTAAAGTCTTACAGGATTTAATAGTGGATTGTGTCATGACAAGACTCTGAGCTTTACCCATCACAACATAAACATCACTCGCACTTACACAATTGCTTGAAAAATTTGTATTTTTCTAATAAAACAATCTATGACTATCTTTGTCATCATTATCCATGTTTATTGCAACACACAATAAGCACAGGGAAAACTAATTTTACGTAATGTGTTCCCTTTTAAAAAGCAAAGGAAAGAGTGCATGGTTCAGACAGCATTTAGTACTTAACTTTCTTAGTTTTGTTCTATCACTGCCTGGCTCATATAAGTTTTATTTTCTTGAGAAACACCTGCTGTAACAAGTTTTGTTTAGTTTTTTTCACTGAATGATACTTGAGATTACCTACATGCCCTAAACAAAAGTTTAATCTGTTATTCAGGATTTTGTCTCTTTGTGTCACATGTATACATCCTCGAATGTCTCCCAGGACAACATTTCTCATCCAGGTGTGGTTTGAACTTTGAAGGTGAGAGATTCTTCAGGTTTGGTGGTCTGATTCTTACACCCAGTACAGAACACTGCTTTTCTGTTTTCAGCAAAAAGCCTCACCACAAATCAGTTTTGCCACTCTCTGAAAGCAAGCAATTTGTGAGAGAATATTATAAACTGGGCAGGACTCCGCCAATGCATTACACCAGTTGAAGTCAGACCTCATACAATAAATTACTCTATGAATCTATGAACATTTGAATTGCTTTGAAGATGTAGGTAGCATTGATTTCACAATAAAGGACATTTTACTTCACCAACAAGATTTTTGTTCCTCATTGAGTTGCTTAATTCATTGCTTTCCAACCTGTCTATAAAATCATCAAAACCATTATTCATGCTCTGATGACGTTGCCTTTTTGATTATTTTATCAAAACAATAGATAATTATTAATGTTGAAAAACTGATTGCATTTCAGCATTTTTATATGGGTGGCTTAGTTACTTTGGAAGGTAGTATGGCAAGTGCTGAGATGTGTTACTTTTAGCGTAGTAGTAAGAAGGACCAGTCACGACAGTCCACTTCCATAAATGACGTGGAAACAAACTGCCAAATGCATCACACACCTCATACTGACATTTTCCTCAAAACATAGTCGTGTTTTCTTTTCTAATTTAGTATGCAGCTCTCTATTTAAATAGTGCAATATATTTGAGACTTTTGCGTAGACTTAAATGATTAGCTGTCCGGTGTCTGGCAATCACACATAAATTAATTTAGCCAAATCTGAGCTATAGTGGCATGTTTGGTGTCTTATGGCTGTCACCAGCAGATTTTTTTTTTGTTTTTGCCTTGAGCGCACAGATCTACTAACTAATACAATGCAAAGTGCTACAGGAGTGACACTGAGTAATACTGTTGGACAAAGGTCATGCTTACCCAGCCAGAATAGCCCAAGCAGTCGATCCCTGGAATCACAACAGTAATACTCTCATCATAAAGACAAACCATGTAACAATGGACCTTAAGAGCTTTTACTGTAATACCCAGGGATAGAAATACAGTATCAGTGATTATTGGGACAGGTGGGTGCACATATGAATAGCATGTACTTTAAATATAGCAGTGAGAATGTGAGACAAGAATGTGACCAGGATAGAACCATACACACAGGCTATATATAAGCAGCAGGATCCAACAATATGTTAAACAAATGATATCTGTGCTCTTAGGATAACTCTTTTTGGTGTAGAGTAATAATAAACAGACTCATTGTAGGCAAGTACAATCCTTGTTTTGACTGCACAAATCCATGGAAATAGAAAGTTAAAAACATATGTCAGAACATTCTCCATGGAGATAGATACGTTTTATGCCATACTGTAGAGTATTAAGTAGTATAGAGTATAAAGACAAGAGGGTGGGGATTCTCCTCCATGTCAAATAAGACATTTGTGGAGATGCAAGCTCATTCACAGTAGGGATGCATGTTTTAAATGCAATCAAATAATAATAATAATAATAATAATAATAATAATAATAATAATAATAATAAACAAAGGTATATTCTTGCAACAAATGTGTTAGCCGGAGGTCAGTTTTATTGCATACAGTCAGTGCACAAGGCTTCCTTTGACTTCTTTTGTGGTCTCTATAAGTGACGTCCCCTTCCTCTGTGCATTTCATTCAGTGTGTCATGTGCTCAGTGGTGTGTGTTCCGCCCAAGGGTAACACGTAAGAAAGGGCTTCAGTATGATACTAAAATATATACTGAAAGCTGCAATGAGACATTAAACAAATTATTGTTGTTGTAGTAATAGACATTTACCCACAATTTAGTTTTTTGTGAGTCCAAAAATGAAATGTAAATATTTTGAGACTGATAACAATCTTATAATTTAAGATTCAAATATTTTATCAAAATTGTATCTTGCTATTGGTATTTATTTATGTAAGGCATAAAAAATAAAGGAATCATACTCACAGGTTTATTTTTACAGTGAAAAGTATTAGTACTGTTTTTGTTTTTTTTTTTTGTTGTTTTTTTTGCAAAAGCACATTTGTTAACATTTATTATAAATAAATACATTCAGTACGTTTCCAGCATTTGTGGTCTATGAACACAACTTTTATTTTCCTTTTTGGGGTAAACCTCCCAATATTGTGCATTTCACAGTTAGAAATATTCAACAGAACATATCCACTTTTCAAGTATTAAGTCAAAGTTTAAATTTAAAAAAAAATCGTACACACCTTGAAGTATTCCAGTGCTGCAGTAAAAAACAAACAAATATAAGGACAACACTGTGGCTCTTTGATCTATATGTATGGAAAATAAACACACAAGGAAGAACGGCAGAAAGAAAAGAAAAAAGAGCAGAGGTCTGACCCAGTACAAAGGCAGATGTCTTGGACTTGGGTAGCATCGGTTTAGTTAGTAACAACAAAAAGTTTATGCATCACAAAGTAGCAGCTCCCTGAAGAACTCTCTCGGTGTGGGTTTAGGTTTAGGGAAGTTGTCCATTTGATTGGCACATCATGCTGTGCTGTGCAAATGTCTAAAAGATTCAAGTCAACTACTGTTTTCTACATTTTTAAGCTGCACTGCACAACTTTTTTGGTGGGGGAGGGTTTGATCCTTGAGTCAATGTTTATCAATGGGGAAATAGTTTTAGATAATTTCTTCTGTGATAGAAATTCGATAAACTAGACATTTACACAGCACTGTACAATTAAATACATTTAGTCCCATTAAAACATACATACAAATTATAACATACACTTTAGAAGAAGCCAAGAAACAAAACAGTGCAGGTCCCACTGCATAGATTTGGCGTTGCTCCATTTTGGCACTATTCGCTTATCAAAAACTGTGCAACTTTCTTAGTAAAAGGAAGCCCATTGGTAAAAATACAAACAGTAGACGTATGGACACTGTTTCTCTTTTTAAACCCGAAACTCAAACTGGCTGTGTGCTTGCCTTTAATGCGTGTTAGGGGATCCGTGAGCTTGGCTGGTCAATGGAATCCGCAGCGACAATCTAATACTCGTCCTGCAGGTCCCCCCTCTGTCCCTCTCTTTCCCTCTCCCTATGTCCCTCTCTCTCTCCCTCTCCCCCACTCCCTCTCTCCCTCTGCCAGTGTTTATGAGGACGAGCTACATGACAAGGACACAACCTTCTCTGCCCCTCTGCAATAAAGTCATGACTTAGTAACAGCAGCAGCACATTGGCCACTCTCCCAGAGGCCTACTGGAGATTTAACACAGCCAAACGCATGTTGTCTATTTTAGCTGTCATCATGGCTGCCAGCTGTTAAAAAGGTCAATAGTTTTGACTCTACTAAAGTATCTCTCAGGCTGTGATTGCAGTTTCGCACTGCAGGAAAAGGCAAGGTATGCTCAAAACACATGGTTTAGGTGTGGAGAGAAGAAATACAGGCAGGATTATGTGATGTTCAAATATAAGAAAGATTGCTGCATGGGGAAGTTTAACTTAAGTATTTATATGTTATATAATTAATTCTTACAATCTTAAACTCAAATATGGGATCCATTAATTGAAAATTACTATTTCAAAAGTTGTTTAGGCTGAAATTTGACCTAAAAAAGGCACCTGATTTACCTCATGCTTTATAAAATGTGCAGTACTCCTAGAGACAATGTACTTTGTACCAACAGTTATTATTTTATCATAACCACAAGTCCACTACATATTTACATAATAAAGCATACTGTATAGTCTTTTACAGCATAGCCTTCAGTGTGCCCATTCAGCTATCCACATTAATATCTCCCCTCACACAGACAGTGTTGGTGACCCCTGACCTCTGCTCTTTGATCCCACTAGAGGATCTCTGTCTCTATCCTGTGCAGTAGCACAGTTCACTCCAGTCTAGGGTCTGCTGCTTCTCAAAGTGCACCATTGCAGACCTAATTATAATGACAACAGCCCCACATTGTCTTCTGTACGCCTTAAGCTTCCTCTCTGTGACTCAGATCACAGCAGAGAGGAAGTATACAGGCAACATTCATGAATTCAGTCAAGCAAAGCTCTTTTAAGATTGTAGGATGTTCTCATTGTCAGATTTAGAGAAAATAGATAATACTGTAGTCTATTTATTATTCATAATAATAATATTATATATATATTTCTATGGGGTCATCTGAAACACAACTTTTCTGTTCTAAAGGGGGGAAAGTTTAACTAGTCCAGTCATATCTTATTTATTACATGGCATGTCATCTGTAATAATTATTGTTTTAGCCTACTTTGGAGCAAGAGAATTTGAGTGTATACATTTAAGTCTGAATTGGAAGTTGAATTTTGGTCAGACAGTTTCCCTACAATCAACCATATATTAAATGATATTTGCAACTCTACAATTTCATTTAAAAGCAACATCTCTCTAAACTAAAGTGTATATCAATTCCCTTGTAGTAATCCTTAGAAGAAGAGTAGGCTGTGCATGTCTGCATCGGACGAACACCAACAAGTGGGTCAGCTATATACTATGAGCATTCGGGTTGTCCTGCTTTACTTTCTACCAACATTAAACATATGAGGTGAAAGTCAATACACAAAGATAAGAAATAGACTGCGAACATGATAACTACACTTGCAATTTATACTTTCTGATGCATAAATTGGTGACTATACTGATCATATTGCTATACACTATTTAGAAAAGACAGGATGACGAAAGACAAAAAGTCAAGGAAATAAAGGGGCCCTGAGATGGAGTGATACTACAAGGAGAAGATTGCTTTCTCACTAAATGCAAAGAGTGAAGTGAATCCAACTGCTGTTGTGCTTGGATGTTCATCTCACACAGTGTTAATACATTTGTCAGGTAATAACCTGACTTTCCTATCCTAAATTCACACCCACATGTCAGCACCAACAATCTGGAAGAGATTTAATGGAGTAAAAATATACTGCATTGCACTTGGTATAAGGCTAAACATGTGGCTGAGGGAAGCGAAAATGCATCTTAAGGCAGCATGGACTGAATGTCTTGCATGTATATTAAAAAAGTAGCAAAAATTCAAATATGTTTCAATGCAATTATCACACAAGGACAAAGTAAACTAAACTGAATGCACTCTCTCCCAGCCTATAAATACGTACTGTAACTAGTATTTGCATATGTAGCATATAGGGCTGCGCAAATACTGTATTGTATAGTACCAAATAAATATTCCCACACACACTCAGAAATACATATTTGGCAGAAACTACCAAATACAATTATGACCAAACAATCCTCTGAGCCCCATAAAAAAATAACACAGTTTGACCCAGTTCAGCCTGAATGTAAAATTATTGTTGACTCCAGTAATAACCAACTTCACCTGGTCAATGGCTCACAGCCTTTTTCTTGCTTTGCCCTTTGTTCAAAGTTTGTTTAAAAATAAAATACTTCAATTGAAATATTTAAAATGTTAAAGCTGTCAAAGCAGACAATGATCCCAGTTCACACAGTACAATATGGAGATGTTCCTATAGTTTGGTATCCAAGGCTAGGCTCAGTATTTGGGGGGGATGACCACTGCAGGTTCACCACTCTTTGGCCGCCACATCAACACCTGTGCATCATTGGCATTGGGTTTGACCATGGCATTGGATGGAATGGGCTCATTCTTGCCCAGAATTTGAGGCTGTTCCTGGGCTATAGGTTCTTTAAGAACAGCCCTTTGCCCCAGGGGTTTCTCTGGGTCCACATGGATATGAAGACGCATCCTCCAGCGAATGGTCTGCAGGACCAGAGTCTCAGCCGTAGCCTGGTTGATGGCCACAAGCCATGTGGTGAAGCTCTGGTCTCTGTGGATACTGCTGAGCTGAGGCACATTGCTGTCGCTGACGGGTACACCCCATGTCACACTGGGGTAGAAATTGTCATTCATGCTAACTGTGAATTTGCTGTCCTTTTTGGTGGGGCCCACAACAGTGCATGTCTCGGTGGTGTTTCCATACCAGGGATAGTTGACACCATCTGAGTCACTGATGGCTTGGATTTTCCCATCACGCAGATCAGGAAGCTCCCAACTTGACCTGGAAATTAAATGTATAATGTTAGATTTTCATAATGAATGTTTTAGGTATACCCATACATATTCAAACTGCAATAACTGATAACAAGAGAATCATGAACTAAATCCGACTCCATTATTAGACAATGTTGTGAAACAATGTTGTGACTTTGTGGCCCTCAGCCTCTGCTGTGCCCACCAATTAATTCTGTCCCCACAGCAGGCAGACATTTTACCTTTGGGTCTGTGAAGGTGAGGATGAAGACTACACACAGATAACAGTATTATCAGCAGCACATGACTTTCTGCTTGTGTGGATATGCTCCGCCAGAGGCTCAGATTAGCATGTCAGCCATGAATGTGAGTGCACTGCTGTGCACACACCAACACACACATTACTGTGCAAAATCACATAATCCCATGGACTGATGCCTTTGTCAGTAGCACTACCCCCAATGCTAAATATTAATTCAGACATCAAACAGCTGCATAGTTTGCACAGGCCCTTTCCATAATTTTCATAAAAACACATTATACGCATAATTTTATTTACAAACTCACCTGCGTCTTTCAAGAAAAATATTCCTGTTCTTTAGATGGTTTCAGGGTACAACTGACAAATATAGTATAGTGACAAACATAAGTTAAGACAGAGTGTGAGTTTTGTCACAGAAAGTCATGAAATGACTTTCACAGTAAAAAGTGCCTTGCTTGGTTACTGTTTGACTCATGAGCTGTGTTGGCATCAGTACAATCATGACTAGTAAATGTGACCTGATGCAAGGGGAACTTTCAGTTCTCTTGATCTGTCAAAGCAGGAGGCTCAAAAAACATTTGTCAAACAGTCAAAAGTTATAGGAGGCAGAATGCAAATAATACCACAGTCTCACAAAGCATGTCTTTAACAAAAGCAAATTGGGAAATGGAACAGATTGACCAAATGCAAAGAGATTTGACCATATAATCCCTGATTATAGCATTTGGATTTTCAATTACCCTAGCTGCAATCCTAATCTGATTGAGTAAACCGAAATGTGCCACACAATTTACATTTGTTTGATTTAATCATTTAAATCCAAACAATACAGCAGTTTCAATAACAATAGTTATTATTTAGTTATTATGGGTCATTAGGAATAATATAAGGATGGCATCATTATATTATGTATTAGATGATTTTCTAATCTTTTTTTCCATTTTATGTACATTTAGATATATATAATATATATAGTTTGTTTTGTAGTCCGCCTCATTCAGTGGTTTTCATTTTCACTTCCTCAGTAAGGTTATGTTATTTTAGTCAGATGCTTAGTGCATTGCTTGCTTATTTATGACTTATTTATAAATACTGCCAAAAGCCCACCTCTGTCTGCTGCCTTTACACCACAGAGGCAGTGAGACACATTGAATGTGTCCAGAATTTTGATCAAGAATTTGAAACCATCTGAGGAATCCTGCCCATCCTCAGCTGTTCTGTCCAATTATAGCCAACTCTACTTGTTTTACCACCAAACTAGAAGAAGACTTACGACATACACCGCATTTTAAGAGAATATCTGACCTATGTGGCTACATAAGATGGGAAGGATGTAGTACAAATCACTCATTATAGTATATCAAGCAAAACACATTCACAAATATTGGAAGCTTAATTATGTTCAATAATTAAGCTTCCAATATGCAGCCCCACGCAGATGTATATGTGTAATCATGTAATTTTGGCTACAATTTCTACAGCAGTTGTTGTGTTATCCTGAACATTTTGGACCACAAATTACCCTTCACTACCCCAAGCATGTATATTTCCTCACATAGAGTTTTTATTCATGAGCAGCAGTAAAGATGCTCTGATACCCCAAAACAAGCAAAAACATTTGTTTCTTGATTCTCCTTTGAAGTATTTTTGCTTTATATAATGCTTTGTTTATCTCTGTCAGTAATCATAATGTTTTGCTGGAAGTGTTTTGAGAATGACAGTCTCTTGACCTTTCTATGACACACATGCACACACATAGGACCACTATGGAGTGTGGGGCGTGGTGGGGTGACTCTAATCTTAGACTTACAGCTCTCTTCCACTGCTGCTACCTAGATAAAGCATATTTTGGGTATACAAGTCTGAGGTTGGCTGCATGATATTAGCTCTTATTGTTGCAACATTTGAACCAAGCGGTATCCATACACATGCAAGACTAAAAGAAAGTGTTGGACTTGTTTGTTTGTCTATTTTAATGACAGTCAATCACACACTATTGATAAGTACTGACTGCCAAAAGGTCACGATCATTATTTTCCATCACATTGTCCCACACTCAGTTCACTTTGAAATGTTATCAAGCTGCAGACATCAAACCAATGGAACATGCAGAGGACACAGCCAAACTTTAATTTTGTCTGCAATTTTTTACAACTGCAAATTATTTGTCAGGTTTTGAACTTTGGAGCTCTTGTTTTTGCAGAAGTGAAAACAGCATGATTTCAGTCTAAATGGTCAGGAGGCCATGAGCTTCTCCTAAATGTTTTGTCTATTTATTATGAGGTGAAAAACATTGCTTGTCCTTGAATTGAACACGAGAGGACGCATTGAAATGAAGGTGAAAAAATATACTGATACATTAAGTGACAAAAAAATGCATTATTCTGCCCATGAGCTTTATAAAAAAAAGTAGCAGTAATAGCATTTTTTTTTTTAAGGCAAGACCAACATCCATTGGAATTATAACTAAAATATGTGCTTGTTAAATACTGCAGGTTTTCATATTTTTCTGGTTATTAGTTACATTGGTGGTACTTTCTGACTTCTAAAACGTATTGATAGTATAGAGGGATGCCTTTCAAACGTAACCAAATTTATTTGCAGACATGAATTTTACATAATAATAATACACTTTATCTAAAATTTTTAACTATGGGGTGCACATTTTTTAGTTTACCTACGTTAAATTAGTTAAGCCTGTCTTATGTACTTTAACTTTAGTTATAGGCCTAATTCTTAGCCTATGAATTATGTTACTCACATTCCTTTGTTCCCATATGTGTTGTAGAACTCCATGTGATTACATGCTTGAATCCAGCCAATGGTCCATGTTTCTTTTCCAGGCACAGGGGGCACCAAGACGCGCGCACACGCTCTGAAGTGCGGTGTCCGGTAACGCAGGACCACACTAGACGACTCGTCGATGCTGGTGGGGTTGGAATCGATTGAAGTGTTCACCTCCAGGACGATGATACTGTCTCGGAAACTTTTGGGCTTACACCTGATACTCTGGATACAGCCCATTGCATTAAATAGCAACACAGTCCACAACAACGTCCAGCGGTCTGGGGAGGAAGACAGACGCATGGAAACAGCAAGATAAAAAAATGTAATCACCACAGCTGTCTCCACATCACGATGCCCAAGAATAGCTCAGATAGTAAAAAGCATGTATTTATAGCAGCCATGCATGTTTGATCCTAAAACACTGTCAGATACAAGACAGGTTTATCTTCACCGTGAAGGGTGCATGCTTCTTGTGCAACTGTTATCCTGGAGCCGATATCATGCAGTGGAGAGTCGCTCCACCAAAAGAAAGAGACTGGCCAACGTGCGCTCTACGCCATACGGTGCGCTGAAGTTCATGTCAGTAGTAATAAGGGCTCTATACAGGCAACTCTCAGGTTACATGTGGGACTAGCCTCATTTTGTAACGTGACTTTTTCATGAACATGCTAAATAATGTGCAAGAAAGGAAGTGGTGCGTTTCGTGGAAATGTGTCAGTCTTGAAGTTATAGCCTCGACAATAAGTGCTGCAGATCAAATTTAACTTCAGATTAAATAATATACATGCATATAGTAGATTGTATTGTGCGTAATGCATGCAAAGGTCTACCTATTGGAGGCTTAAGTGTAGAGTTCCTTCAATCTGAGTTCCGATGTTACAGAATGAATGGCGTCTCACTCACAGTTGTTCGGTCACACAGGTAATTCCGTTATCTCCACGTTGCACCAGCTCCGTTAGTTAATACTGTTTTGTCGCTGCCCGAGAGCACGCATTTCCTTGTGTCATCCAAAAGAAAGCACCGTGGGGTTAACTTCAGCCATTTGACCGCATCCATTCTAAGGACATTTAAACGAAAACATAAGTAGTTGCGTTGGGAGATTGCCGTGCATTGTCTGGGTGCCGTAGGGGTCTATGCACCCCCCTGTGTGCGGTGACAAGGAAGAATAGAGGGACGGATTTCAGGAAAAATCCCCACGCGAGAAGTCGCTGCTCAGCGCGCGCCCCATCGTCACAGCAGGTTCACCCCGCTACGCTTTGGGCTGTCAGCTGCTTGGGAAGCGGCTTTATAGATGGCTTTGAGACGACACTTCCGCTCAGGACGTTGGTATGATGGGAAATGTAGGCCACGGATCTCATAATTATGAACATTTTGGAATTTGTTTCCCCTGCCATAACAATTAACAATTTAAAAGAAAAGAAAATATTATATAATTTGAATATAGAATAGTTCTCAAATTGTTGCCTATCTGGAAGCTGAATCTCATAAACAGGGTCAAATTTTGATCTGTGTGTAGGCCTATTTATTGAATCCCGTTAGACCCATGTTTAGACCTTATTCTATCATACAAAATAGTCTAGGGTTTAGCAAAAGAGTTTGATTTAGGAAACTAGTCTCTACTATATATTCCTGGCCAAAATAGTTTCTAACATAAAATAAATTAATTACCCAAACATATTTCGGGCATTCTGATTTTCTAGTTTAATAACCTTTCACTCTATCGGTTTCAAAAAGAAATCCTCAAAATCTAGTTTTATACTACGTCTAGAATGCTATTGCCTACGTCTATTGCTATTACTGATCAGGAGTAGGTCTACGCTTCACATTTTTCCCCCTCTTGCCAGCCCTTTTAAGTACCTTGGACAACTCTGCCCTGAACGTAGTAAGGAATCGTGTATTACGCAAACTGCGTAAGACCATCGAGGGAGAAGCAGATGCTGCATTGAATTTTGAGGCCTGTATCTTAGCTCATGTTCCTTTGTGTTTCAATACGTTCTTACTGGAACATCACTTTATAGATTAACGTGGTAGGTCTTTCTGTTAAAAGAAAGGAAGGATGCTGCGTTCGAGGCTTCTTTGTATCCAGTGGCTGCTTGTGATGGCGACACAACATCAGCGTAACTAGGCTCTTGCCCTTGTTTTAATTGTCCAAACCGTGTTGTTATTTACAGTGAAGCATCTGTATGTTGCTTTGTACAATGTTGACGCGTAACACGACGCACTGGTGTTATTTTATAGCTTGACTTGGATCAGGTTTCACATGATGGCCAGGCAGATGCCGTACACCTCACTGGGTCTGGTAAACAGCATGGCCAGCACACATTCCTGGGGGTCTAAATATATCTATTAGGCCACAGAAGGGGAGGACTGCTGTACCCCTTTCTATCCAGGGACTTCACTGACTGGGTTAAGTCGCACCAGCTAACGCTCGAAGATTGTTCAGTACAAGTTTTCTCCCGAACGCAAAATGCCCGCTAAAGCAAGATCTAAAGCGCGTGAAAGGAACAATGTACTGAATAGAGCTGAGTTTATGTCCCTTAACCAGCCCGTGCGCGGAGGGCAGCCGGAGAGGGGAGGTAGCACACGGAGACCTCCATTCAAGCACCAAACAAGCCAGCCTGGTGAGGAGCCACCCGAGGGTTCTAGTAAGGACAAAAAAGAGCCTGGCAAACTGCCGGAGGAAGACTGTATGCAGCTCAACCCCTCATTCAAAGGCATTGCGATGAACTCTCTGCTTGCCATTGATATCTGCCTGTCCAAACGCATGGGGGTGTGTGCCAACACGTCTTCGTCCTGGGGAGGATGCAGATCTATGGTCAACCTTTTGGCTCTCACTGGTCACGGAATCACGTGGATTATTGGCACTATCGTGTGTCTGACAAGGAGCAACACATTGGCCGGACAAGAGGTCCTGGTCAATCTGCTTTTGGGTAAATGTCACTCAACAAATTTACGCGCATCGTACCAAATGCCTCTTGTGCCAAAAGCTGCACCATCATCACTGCTAACCCTTCCCTTATGGATAATGCAGCTATACTTGTATTAACGAGTGTTCACTTTTTCTCATTAGGTTTGGGGAACAGGTTTCATTGAAATCATTAATATGTTCAATGGACGTTCCCACAGCTCATAGACCTATACACTTAATTATGAGTAGGCTGCCCTATAACACTTGGACACCGAGTTGTGTTGAATGTCTGATCCAGTTTTCTCCTTGTGGCTCATACACTGTATTATGACTTTTAATGTTCGGAATTGTGATACTATGGGGAAGTTATTTTTGCAACACTTAGTAGGCCTAGTATATGATTACAATATTTTCTATTCATGCTTCAGAAGTCAAAATTAAACCACTGCCTGTCAGAAGGGTTGTAAAAGTTCTTGTACTTGTAAGCAAATCTTTAACAAGATTAAAAATGACTTGTGGTCAGAAATTCAGACATATAGTGTTTTTGCATGTCCCCTGTAGACAGCTTTACAACTATTTAATCATTTAATTTATATTTTTGGTGGTCTTTAGTCTGATTAGGAGTAAAAACAACAGCAACTATCAAAAGCTGACAACTGGAATTACGATTAAAGAAGCACCAGATTCATGGGAAATGCCAATATTTTAATAGAGCGGTATGTCACCTCACCTTTGCTTTTTACTGTATTTTCTTTTCTGTGGTTTCACCAAAGCAATATGGAATGTATGGAAATCTGCAGAAGATATTATCTCAGGATTGAGGATTTTTGAGAAAATTTGAAAATGTAATTTGAATTTTAGTGTCTGATAAAAAAAACAAAAAAAAAAAAAAAAACTTACAACTTATATTTCTAAATCAGCATTTGAAAGAATTGGTCATTATATCTGCTTTCTTATGTCCAATACTGTCTTGTTTACTTATTTTCTTTTTCAACAGCCCTTCTCCTGGACGTGATGACAGTAGCTGGGGTTCAGAGACTGGTAAAGCGGAAAGGACCGTGGGAGATGGCCCCTGGTTTCCTTGACTGTGTTGCCATGGACATATACTCTTTTCCTGCTGCTCATGCCAGCCGGGCTGCCATGGTGTCTAAGTTTCTTCTGTCTCATCTGGTGCTGGCTGTGCCCCTTCGCATCCTTCTAGTGCTATGGGCCTTTTTGGTGGGCCTGTCCCGAGTGCTTCTAGGTAGACATCACCTCACTGACATGGTGTGTGGGTTTGCATTAGGCCTGCTCCATTTTAGCCTGATGGAAACTGTGTGGCTGTCATCAAGCACCTGTCAGACCCTTATTTCTATCAGCACACTGAGCTGGAGTCCCTTTTCCTGAGCTCCTACTTCATAAGTCTTTACACTGCCTGATATTTTGCTGGTTGCAACAGATGCCTACGTTGCATGTATATCATTGATAATACATACAGCAGCTATACACTCTGGCAAACGATACAAATTGGCAAAGCAAGGAGCCTCTAATAAAACAGCTTGTGTTTTGATTTCATCAGTTTCTCATAGACTGCTTATTCAGATTGTATTGTGCCTCTTATCCCTTTTCTTTTTTTTTCTTCTAAAACTCTTTTGCATAATATTGATATGTAAATGAAAGTGTGTGCAAATACACTGCACACACAGTAGGCAAAGATACATTTTATTTTTTACATTTCATATTGGCAAAATCTTTTTTTTTTTTTTCCCAGATGGAACTTGATGCAAGTTTGCACCAAACATTGTGTTATGTTTTCCTTAAAAAAATATAAACTAATTATACTGATGCAAATGTCTATGCAGGTCCATCTATCCAGCATTTTTCTTGCTTTTCTGAAAAAAATAAATGTTTGATACAAATTTCTTTTATAGATATAAAATTAAACTTTTGTGTCAATATCTACAATGCTTTATTTGTGTTTGTATAGCTTTGTTTGTCTGTACAGGTTTACATAGTTTTTTTTTCTTTTTCTATTTAATGCATTAATAAAATTATTGGCTATTTAACAATGACTGATTTATTTATTTTGTTATTGATGCATGTGAACAGTAAGCACCTTACAAATTTTCTATTACCTTATTTTAACTTGTTGTTGCATCTTCTGTTTACCCTATAAGCTTACAGTAGAAGCATGTACCCGGAAACAGTGGTATGGTGAAACGCTAAATTTATGAGGAACAGAAAGTGTTTTTGCCCATACATGAAAGCCTAGCGTCTGATGCAATGACAGTTGCTGTTGGGTGTAGAACCTCATAAGATCAAGTATATGAATGTTTTATTAAAAAAACGCATGTTTGAAATAATCACAGTGTGTTCAGTCAGGAACCTTATTCATTTGTGATCAGTTGTGATAAGTGTCATCTTCCTGGACAGACCCTGTAGTCTGTAGGACATACTATTTTACTTTTTTTCTAGTTTAAATAATATAATACAATTAACATACTAGAAATGCGTACACCCAAGTGAACTGAATAAAAGTGGACCATTTGGTGGGACATAGGGATGAACTTAGGAAAATATAACTTGTGGTACCTGTGATACCTGCTAAACTGAGGCCAAATTGAAGGATAAAATATTTTGTCTGATCAAACTGAATGTTAAATATGACGAGCCCTTTTATTTCAAGGCTCAACAGTGAAAAATGCAGAACAATTTAAATTTACATTGAAAGAAGCTTTCTGATATTCCACCTTCTACTCACATGACAAACCTTTTTACTCTTTACTCAGTGTGTAGTAATATATGTACTGAATCTGGCCTTAATTCCAGCAGTAGGTCTAACCAAAGGACAGGTAGCCACCATTTAAAATGACAACAGAGGGTAAAAGAAATCTATCGTGACAGCTTCTGACATTTATGTAGCAATTGCCCCACCTAGTGACAATTGTTGTGTACGTTATCGTGCGTGTGGCTGTATTTGCTCTGTTTAACCACACGGGTGTTTGGTTGGGACGTCTCCCTCCGTTTGTGGTGACGCATGACGCTCTTCCACAGCCGCTTGTGCTTCACTCTACCCCGCTCAGTCTCAGGCCGGGTAGGACCCCAGCAACAACTCTGCGATCAATTCAACCTATGTAGATCGGGTTTTACAATCGCCTTCCATCCTTTGACTAAACAGCATTTTGTGGGAATATATAACCACCATTCTTTGGAATACAAACTAAGTCACTCACTGGGTAAGTATTTGACGCAGTTGATGAAGTGAAATATACACTTTTTGGTGTTTTCTTCGCTGCCTAGTTTTATTGTTGCTTTGTTCTGGGCAGCAGCCATTTTTAATCGCCTTGCCCTACATTCCCTTTTCTGTCTCCATAGCTTGCTAATGTTGAGGTTAATAACAGTCACAAGGGGAGAGGCTCTAAAATGTCCAAAACACACTGTGTGTTTTATTATGGTGCGTACAAATAAAGACACTGGCCCCAAGGCCTGTCATGGTTGTTGTTGGGGAGACTAGTAGGCGGCTAGTTTAATGGGAATGCCCTTTCGCTAGTTTGTGGACAACCTGCGATTAACCTCTAATGCGTGCTTTGGCGCATGTTGTGACATTTTGACCAAGTATTATATTCCGATAATAGTGAAGTGTACGCTTAAATTGCATGATGAGTTGTCTTTAGAATGGCGAACATGAAAATGGTAGCCACCAGCTTCTGATGTTTACATTACCATTTCCATTAGCCTAGCTGCTGGCTGGCTAGCATTTTCCACTAGCAAGGGCTGCTTCTTTCTTGCGCTGTGATCGTGAGGGCTCACTATATAATGTGGGCATACATAGCGTATTGGATGGTGATATTTGTCTTTCAAATAAACATTTGTTTCAAAAGCAAAGCAAACGCTGTTCAGATCGGGCTAGTCTAGTTGTGAGTGTAAGTGTAACCTAGGGCCTGTCTCTGTACATCATGTTATATGTTTTGTGTTTTCCAGTGCTGTATGGGCTGTAAAGGTATTATAGATTCAGTTGTGTCTGTCAAACCCAAAAGCAGCGTAATTGTACCTTTTGTAATGGTTAGCCATATGAAAACTCGATTACATCACATACACCAGTCTTAACGCTGTGATTCAAGCTATCCCCCAGTTTGCCATATCTCCATGTGTTTTAAATAAACTGTGTCAGCATTTCAAGTTTCTTCCACTCTTCACTTGTCAAAAATAGCATTATAAACTATGTAAATTATTATGGAGGCACACATCAAGTGGATTTGGACAATTTTACTTTAGTTGTGCATTTGCCAACTTTAGTGTTGAATTTCTACAAGTGAAACTAGAACCTGAATTAATAAAATGGCAATGGAAGTAAGAAATATTTCTGGCCAAACGTACACTTGAGGTTGGGAGGTTGAAATAATCAACTGCAATACTGCAAAAATATGGCTTTTTTGTTATTAATTTCTTATTTTTTCATTTGTACATTTCTTTTCTTGAAGTATCAGAAGGCATTGGGAAGAGGAGAAAAGAAAAATTTCCATACTCGATGACATTACATCGCAATGTCCGATCGTTTGGGGCAAATTACCAAGTCCAAGGATGGGAAAAGCAAGTATTCCTCGCTCAGCCTATTTGACAAGTACAAGGGAAAATCAATAGAAACCCCTAAAAATACAGGTAATTTGCTGCTGTTCATATTTCAGAAAATATGAAATATTAGTTTCAAGTATTTTTTTCTCACCTAAAATGTAGTAGTTCCTCGACATGGCTTACAGAGTCTTGGCAAAGTGGCAACAGCCCGGCGTATGCCCCCACCTGCTCTGCCGAGTTTAAAATCTGAAAACAAAGGAAACGATCCAAACGTGGTCATTGTGCCTAAAGACGGAACAGGATGGGCAAACAAGCAGGAACAACCCGATCAAAAGAGGTAAATGGAGGCAAAATTTGGTTTCAGTGTCATCTGAGAAATTAAAAATTGACTGACACGTGCTAGACTTTCAAGTTTTTTTCTTCTTATTTATACAGTTCTATTGTATCAATACAACAGCTGCAGGAGTTGCAGCCGCAGCAGGCTTTACAGAAATCTGTCTCCAATCTTCAGAAACCATCACCAATAGCCAACCCAGAGGTGTGTTTTATGGTTTTGTATTGCTCAGTGTGGAATACTGTTTACCTAATGGCTATATGTGACCACTGTGGTGGCTGCATTGTCAGATGTGATCATACTGATCATGTTAGCAGGTGAACACATCATTGAACTGATCCAACTAATTTTGATATGTTCAAAAATAAAATCTCAATTGTTTTTGCACACTGGACAATTGCAATTGTCACTTGTTTTATTGAGCAATAACCCTGCTTTGCATGTATGAAACTCAGGAGTAACTTGTTTCTTCAAAATCATTGATTTCACAATTTTACAGTTTTTCAAATTAGTTAATCAAATTATTAGATTAATTTCACAGCCCTACCACTTATTAAATGACATTAAACTAAGTGAAAACTGTAAGATGTTCCACATAAACTCTAAAAAGTTAATAAGCTGGTTTAGCCTTTAACCCATATTAAGAACCTGATACGTAATCTGTATCTATGCATTTGTAAAACTGTCTACAATGATACGTTATTGGACTGGTTATTCTATTACATGTGGTAAGCCAGCATCTTTAATGTACTTTGTCAACGAATGTAGTTGGTGATTATTTTCCTGTGTCCCATAGAACACAAACACAGGTGGACCAAAGCAATGGGCCCAGCTAAATGGAAAGGGAGTAGAGCCGGATGGTTTAAGGGGCTCAAGCCGACTTCAACCCTTCTCTCACGAGGAATTTCCCACACTGAAAGCAGCTGGAGAACAGGACAAGGCTGGCAAGGAAAGAAGCGGCTTCGATCCGTCGTATGGGCCAGGACCAAGCCTCCGCCCCCAGAGTAGGTTTTCCTTTATAATATACAGTAATATTAGAACCATTCCCTTAATTCAACACTCACTCTTCTGAACTGCATTTGCGTGAAAATACTCTTTTTCTCCAATCTATCCAATCTGTTTCTCACTAGATGTAACAAGCTGGAGGGAAGGTGGTGGCAGGAACCTTCAACCTTCATCTCTGACCCTCGCTCTGCCAGCAGATCCTGAGGGGAAGCCTACTGCCATCGGTGAGTCTGGGACACTCTCAGCCTCATCTCACCCTTCCTCTGCCACTGCTACCACTTCATCCACTTCAACAATAACTCCACCACCAAGCTTTGATCCTAAAGAGCCTTCCCTGAGACCAGCTCAGCCTGTTCGCAGAACAGCGGTCCCTACAGCCCTGCAATACCAGCTCCAACATACTTCTACTGCGGTCTACCATGATATGTTACCTGCTTTTGTAAGTACATTTAAGTATGTGCTGCTCTTTGGTATACCAGGTACAATTTATAGTTTTTGTTCTCTTAGATGTGCTCAAAAGAAACACGGGAGGCCCCAGGACCAGACCATGCACATAATACTATATCAGCCCCTGTTCGTTTTGAAAGTAAACCAACTTTTAGACACAACTATGCTAAACCAGAGTTGGTAAAGTAAGTGCATATACATGGCTCATAGACTGAAAATTATATCACAATTGAATAGAGCACTACTAATTTGAAACTTATTTTTGAATGCAGTGGAGACTTGAGGAGAGAGAACCGCTTTGTTCGTGCACCACCAAGGGTCTCCTCTCAACCCATCCGCAGGCCAGGTGACAAGCCACTTCGGCCAGCTATCATTAATCCCGAAGACCTGAAGGATCTGGATGATCTAGACAATGACTGTGAGGATGGATGGGCAGGTAATTTTCTCACAATAACTGTGATTTCAAGGTAAAACATGGACACTTTTAAAAGAAATTACAAATGTTATTTTTGTATCTGCCTTAGGACTCCATGAAGAGGTGGATTATAGTGAAAAACTTAAATTTAGTGATGATGAAGAGGATCATGCTCCTTGTGAGAAAAACAAACCATGGTAAACATTTTTTTTGGAACAGTTTTAAGAAATACCATGACTATAGTTCTAATTGTATGTGTTTACAATATCACAGGACTGATTGGGAAAACGAAAACCAGCGTGACTGCCACTCCTCCCTAAGTTTAGAAGATTCTCACCCCCAGGAGAGCCCAGAAGATAACTATCGCTACCAACATCATCATGAACCTCCTAGGAAAACCAGTGGCAGATGCATCTCCGCAGACAGTCAGGTCAGTCCATATGGCATCTTGTTTTTCTACTCTCTCTTGAGACAACGTGTCTAAGTTTAACTCTTAACGTTGTTAGTCACAGAGTGAACACATTAAGGATTAAAATTCCTGAGAGACCTACACTGAAGGGAATATGAAAGGCACAACGTCTCTGAGCCTTTGTGAATTGGGCCAGATGACCCTGTTGTTACTATAGCGATGTGTGACTGCCTATTGTTAACTGTAACATATACGGCCATAACAATATATACTTTTTTTTTTTATTCTTTACATTACTAACCACAGCAGAAACACCATGGTGACCCTGCAGGGGAACAAGAGGACCACCAACGGCAATCTCATGTTCAGCCTCCAAGCAGGGGGAAGTTTGTGCCCGCTGAGTTGTCTGAAGCTGTTGAAAGAGCACGCAGACGTCGAGAGGAGGAGGAGCGACGTGCACGGGAGGAACGATTGGCTGCATGTGCTGAAAAACTTAAAAAACTGGATGAAAAGTTTGGCAAAATCGAGAGACAGACTTCTAAAACAGATGACAGCAACAAAGATCTAGAGGGAAGGGATGTTACTCTTTCTCCCAACCGAGATCAAAATAAATGCCAGCATGACACCTGGCAATACAGCACAAAGGGTAAAAAAAAAAAAAAAGTCTTTAAAATAATGGTCTTTTATGTGACAAATTGATGCTAACATTGCATGTTTTCTTCTCATTCACCTAACAGATGGAAATGAGAGTGCCACTGATAACACTTCTGCGCATAGCTATCAAGAGGAATCGGGCTTCTCTGGTTATCGTGGAAGTGACGAGGAAGGTCTAGAGCCCTCTTCCCCCCCAGGAGACAATACTGTTCGCCATACAGCTAAACCAATTCCTCCCCGCTTTCAAAAGCAGCCACATCACCAGCAACAGGTGAATTTATTCAGAAAATACATTAATTCTTGCCCATGTGTCTAGGAAGACTGTAGGAATGAACAAAAACATTTCACTGTATAACCTCGACAGCATGTGTCTTAAACATTTTCTGGTGCATCCTGTGTTCTCCATATTACATGCAGATTCTATGGGGGATGCGCATCTCGGTTCACTCAACACTGTGTTTCAAGAAGTTATGTGTCGCATCATGAATTTTGATACACCATGTTTAAGAAAAACTAACTTGCGGCAAAATATACACTTGAGTCCAAAAGCATCTAGCTAGATGCGTTTGGCACATTTTTTATGCTGGAGTCTGCATTAGACATTAGAAAAGTTGAGGGGTCAATTTCTCATGTGATGTAAGTTTTACATGCAGGAGAGAGAGTAGTGCAGAGGAGTGCATAGTATAGTGCCACTGGCCACAGCCATGGCTTGCCCTAAACCCAGAAAAGATGTGTGAGACTGGGGACAGAGATAAAAGCTGGCACACCTGCCATACTTTTTCCTTTGTTATCAGTCAGATGGATTTACACCACACTTGTGTGTGTTGTGGGTTTGTTGTTATGCTCAAAACTTATCCATCATGTTCCAACAAAGTTTCCCCATGGGTTTTCCACCATCCCTGGCTCCACCTTTTAAGAAGCCTTATCTTTCTGTGTATTAGGTCATTATAAGGTCAACTTTGTGGTATTTTAATAATTATAACATTAACTTAAAGGATAGATCAGAGACCAGAAAGTAAATGTTTAGGGTGCACATAATTGTTTAGGGTTCCGTGGCCTGTACTTACTGGCACAGGCAAACTGACCCGCTGCCCAGTGACCTCATCATGCAGCACTGTTTGTGAACAATGTTAACATTAAATGCTAACTCCATAGTGAAGAAAATAAACCTAGTGTCATGACGTATATCTAAGGTTGTGAGGCACATGAATATTGCTGTGACATGCGCTTCTTCGTAAGGATTTGGATTAAAAAGTGTGAGGGAGAGAGATGACAATACTTCAGTCACTGTCCACAGTTCTTGCTGAACATAAATGTGGAACAGCTGTGTTGTTTGAAGCTTTCTCTTATGAGAATTATCAGCCCACATGACAAAGCTTGTGCATGTACATTAACAACTTTGGTCCACCTCCTTGCCAAGCCAAACACAAATGTAACATGTTTTATGTTTTAATAGGAACAATCATACAAAATGCAGCACTGGCAACAATCAGGCCATCCATCCACCACTGGCTCAAGTCATGCTCAGCGGGGTTATTATCCCCCACATGTTCTTGGATTTGACCCTCGCTGGATGATGATGCCACCTTATATGGATCCCCGAATGACACAAGGAAGATCTCCTGTGGAATATTATTCATCTTCAGGTTGGTAGTGCTTACTGCACATACTGTGAATGTAGCTTACTTTTAGTAACTTTTTTTTTTTTTTTTAGCAGGGATGATAAAACCCATGATGGCCCAGGATCACAGCCCTGTGTCTGATGAAGGTTGCCATTCAAGTTTGCATCCAGAGAGGAGAGCACCTTCCACCGAATCCTGCACCATGTGGAACCAAGAAAGCTATCCCTTGCGCAGCTTCACTCCACCCTATCAAAGACAACATGAAGGCTCTGAGAGTTTGCGCCACGATGACAGGCAAATAATTTATGCTGATACCAATACCCTGTACTTTCATGTAATTAACTGTCTTCTTTTTTTTCTTTTTGAAGAGGTGATATGACATGCCCCCAACATGACTCTTATGAAGAGAGAGCTAAAGAACGCCTAGATCGTCTTCAAGATAATCTCTCTTGTCATTCATACCACAATAGAGGACCAGACAGGGAAAACAGACACCATGATGAATTACTGTCTCCAGCTCACCCTCCCCACCATGGAGACGCTGATTATCAAAGAGTGGACCACAGAGACAAATACATGAGGGAGGCAGCTGAGTCACATGATGATGCATCAGACAAGGATATTTGGAAGAGAGATTCACTGAAGAAAGACAATGGTCAGTGGTCTGAACCCAGTTCTAGCTGCAGCAGTGTTGGACAGCCTTCTGAGACTAGTGGAAGAATGCTTACTCGCAGAACTGGACCAATCAAAAAGCCAGTTCTCAAAGCTCTAAAAGTAGAAGATAAGGAAAACGAAAAGCCTAAAGCAGAGCCTGATGAGAAACCTGTACCATATCGCCTTGAAAAAGAAGTTCTCACCAATGTGTATGACTTGAAGAAAGATAACCAACCAGCAAACAACAGGCGCTCTGCTTCACCCATTGAAAAACAATCTGAAGAGAAGCAGCGACAGTCCCCTGCTCAAACTAAAACTGACAAATCTTTGTGCACCAACAATGAGGACTTTCCAAAAGACAACAGCTGGGAGAATGGCAAGATTCATTCACCTAGAGATGGCCATGAAAATCGTGAGCCACAGTTACATCGCCGTAATAATTGGATTTTTATTGACGAAGAGCAGGCCTTTGGTGGTGTGAGGGTCACAGGTAGAGGTGGCAGTCGTGGTTTTAGGGAATTTAACTCAAGAGGAGGGAGAGGTGGAAGAACTGCAGATGGTCTCAGAGCAACTTACAACAACAATAACAACAGTGGAAGTGTCACTCACCGGGCAAGCAGAGGCCGTGCAGTCCCTAGGGATCATGTAAAGATGGAAGAATTCCAAAGGGGTAAGCCAAGGAGACGCAATGTTAGTGAAACCTTGAGCGAAGCTTCAGAATATGAAGAAATGCCCAAGAGACGCCGTCAGAAGGGGTCCGAAAATAGTGAAATATACACAGAACCTGAAGTCCGGAAAGCTGACAGGGATTCTTGGAGATCAAACAAGGTGTATACTGATGACCAAGCATCAACTGATTCCAGAGAAAAACCCAAAGCAAGAGGTGTTGGGGGTCGTGCCCTTCCTCCAAGGCTGAACATAAGTGGAGGCTACAATCGAAACTATGGTGGTTCTAGAGACATGTCGTCATGGAGGGGCCGTGGAACTCAGTTTACTAACAGTGGGTCAGGGCAAGAAAACGGTTATGATCCAGGACATGAAAACGTTTACTCGCGTAGATCTGCTGTTGAGAATGTGAAATACACCCCTAAATTTACAGTATCCTTAAATGAAAATGGCACAGAAGAGCGTGAAGGGGAGTACTACTTTGACAATGACAACCCTGACAGACAAGTTTTAAGAAGACGCAGACCACCTCGTCAAGACAAACCCCCACGTTTCCGAAGGTTAAGGCAAGAACGTGACCCCAGCTCAAACCAGTGGACAAGTGATGAATACTTAAATGGTGACTTTGCAAACTGGCCTTCACGCTCCAAAGGAGATGACAGCTGGCCCAGTGGACACTATACTGTGCGTTCTGCACAACATGGTCAAGCAGAGGAATGGGAAACTGGTTCAGACACCAGTGACTTTGGGGACTGGCGGGACAAGAGGAGTGGAAGTAGCAGCTCAGCTCAACAGGGCCTCTCTGATATCCCTTCTGACCCAGGTCATGGTGAACCAGGTGCCAGTGAGAAAAGAGAACTTTCAAAGAGAAGCTTTTCCAGTCAGAGACCTCTTGTAGATCGACAGAACAGAAAAGGAGAGCCACCTGTCCTGGAAACAAACAAAATTTCACGTACACCTGAAAATCCTCCACCAACTTCATCAAACAGAAGTGACAATTGGCCTAATGGAAGTGTATGTAGGAGGTAAGATTTAACCTTTTGTTTAGCATATAACTTGATTTACCATATTTCTGCAATATTGTTCTGTTGTATTGCATGTTTCATGGGTTTATATGTATTAGCCTAACTGTTTTTAAACCCAGGACCCCAGAAGAGGCCGGATCAGTTTATGGCATAGATCAGTCTGAGGAAAGGGATACGTGTGAGTCCACTGGGAAGAAATTAAACAAGGACCTAAAGCAAGGACCTGTGAAGACCGACCTTGAACCCTTGTCACAGTATGAGCTTGGTAGCTATCAACGTGAGTTCTATTTCAAATGTATTTTTTATTCTATAACAGAATGTATATTTAACCATTTGTGTTCCAATAGTTGAAAGTGACACAGGAGGACCAGTGCCAAGCTCAGATGGTTACCAGGAAGCCTTGTCTAAGAAGCAGAGACGTCCACAAGATGAAGAAAGGAGGAGAAAGGAACAGGGAGCTACAGTAAGCTGAGCATTTATTCAATGTGGCAATCTGATTGTATAATTTGTAAATTTATAATTTTTACCTTTTTTTTTTTTTTTTTTTTTAGATACCAGGGAAGAACAGGGTTATGGCATCTAAGATTCCTCCACGCTTTGCAAAAAAGCAAGGAAGCGTGACAATTGACCACCCAGAGGAAGCACTCTCTTCAAATAATCTTGGAACAGAAATCTGGGAAACCAATAGCTCAGGTAGTTTGATATCAGTATTTACAGTGCATAGAAACTTAGAGCATGTTTTCATTTTTCCATTTTTGTAGCTCTTTCCGTTCCTACTTCAGGTGGAGATTCTTGGACTAAACAGGTCTCATACACGGGGAGTGAGCCCAACTCTGAGGTACACTCCTTTAAATTATTGTCCAAAGATGATATTTATTCTTAAATTTGTTTTCTTTCTTGAATCAGGACTCTGATGCAAGCCCAGATCAAAGCAAAGAACAACACAAGCCAGGCCCTATTGGGAATGAACGCTCATTGAAAAACCGCAAAGGTTCAGAAGGTGTTGATAGGCTTGAAGGTGGTCCCATTACACCAGTCAATGGTGTGGATCTTCATGTGGACAGTGTACTGCCTGTGCCTCCAATTGAGTTTGGTGTCAGTGCCAAAGACTCTGATTTTAGTCTACAGCCAGGTTCTACTGCAGTGCCTGTGTCAAATCCTGTAAACAAGCTTCAGGATGCACTTACCAACAATGTAAGTGGTTCAAACTGTTAAAATCAAATTTATACACAAAAGGGTAACATACACCAATATGTGTGTTTCTAGACTGCGCTTAATCAGACTATCCCAATGCTCCGTTCGAACCATTTGCAGCCTGGTATAAACCTCAATCCCTTATCATTTCCTTCTGCTGACTTGACGTTGAAAGTATGTGTTTTACCTAACATTACATTTTTTATTTATTTACCTTTCTCAATTTTTGATAAAAAATAATGTTTTCTTTTACCATTCAGATGGAGTCTGCTCGTAAAGCATGGGAGAACTCCCAGTCACTGCCTGAGCAGGGATCTCCTGGAGGTAGTAGTTCTGGCCCTCAGCCTCCATGCAGTGTAGGTTCATCTAGTGGTGTCAGCTATAGCTCTTTTGGTGGAGTGTCCATGCCTCCAATGCCTGTAGCATCAGTTGCACCCTCCATGTCAATGCAAGGTAAAAAAAAAGAAGTAATTATTACGTAATCTTTAATTTCACACAAATAATGTAATGATTTGTCTCTGTAGGAAACCATATTCCCCCTTTGTACTTGGATGGTCATGTATTTCCTAGCCAACCTCGCCTTGTGCCACCAACCTTGACACAACAACAATCTTATCAACAGGTATATAGACTAGAAACTAGCTATGGTTCTAATTTGTCAGTGTGTTACATTTGTTGTTCATTTCAGGCGGCTGCAGCCCAGCAGATTCCTATCTCTTTGCACACATCTCTTCAGGCTCAGGCTCAGCTGGGGCTTCGAGGGGGTCTTCCTGTCTCTCAGTCTCAAGAGATGTTCAGTTCAATTCCCCCATTCAGGTACTACTTACCCTGTGTTGTACAACTTTGGAAATGTAAATGGTACCATGTATCACTTGCTGTTGCCCATATGTCATACATATATGCTTTTGTTTTTTTTAGATCCCAGGTTTATATGCACCCAAATCTGTCCCAGCCCAACCCTATGGTTCTGTCTGGTGGAGCCCCTCTCAAAGGGCCCTACTCAAGTTTTCCTGGTATGCAGCCTTCTGAAATGGTGAAGCCTCAGTCAAACTCTCACTATCAGCCAATGAATGGCAACCAGCCTATGGTGTATGATAACCAGATGAATCAGGGTCCTGGAATGGGGTCTTCCCAGTTAATGGACTCTCAACTCATCCAGGTCAGTTAATAAAGTTGCATAGAAACTTCCTGATAAAGTAGCAATAATGACTTATTCATATGCTTTTTAGTAGTAGTTTTCTTCATAGATGATTCTTAGCAGGATACCTATTTAATTAATGAAATTCATCTATGAGTGGTCTGTTGAAGAAATGTTTTTTTAATGTATTCATCTAGACAGTGTTTTTGAAACAACGTCTGATTGATCTAAATGTTTTCGAATCCATCTTTTTAAAGTACCTTTATCTTGCAGGTAACCATGCCTCTACCTGGCTCCCAGCTACGCTACGGATCTGCGCAGCAGCATCTGATTCTTCCCCAGTCCATACAGTTGCAACAGGGGCAGAACTTGTCTGTGGGTGCTCCACGTCGGATGATGCCCCCAGGTTCACAGCCCCCTGTCATACCCGGTAGTAGAGAGGTACCTACATGTCCCCCACAGCAAGTTAGTGTTGTCAAATTTTACAGGCAGATATTTGCATTTTTGGTTTATTTAATCCTAGGGGTCACAGATGGACATGAAGAATTTTCAGTTCTCTGAAAAACCCAGTCATTCCCCGGGTATCTCTGGAGGAACATATAGGTGTGCTAATTATAATAAGAATAATAATTATTATTATTACATTATAGGACATTTGCAGTTTAGGATATGTTCTAAATCTAATTTTGTTTTAGGCCTGGGTCTGCAAGTCCCAGTGGGAAGCCCTCTGGTCCTGGAGGACCTCTGGCCACACACTTTCCTCAACAGGTATAATTTAACCCCCCCCCCTCCCCCCCTTTTTTTTTTTTTTACCATGCATTGGCAATGCATTAGTGTTTTTAGTTTAGGTATATAAAAAGTAATTAGCAAAAAAAATACAAGATAATACTAAAACAGGGCAGTAAATGGAATACTGTTAAAGATTATTGGCCTATAGTGATGTCATTTGAATCGCAGTCATGAAGCTCCAACATACTTTACATTATGCAGTTAAACATTGTTGACTATAGTAGCCATTGTTTTGCGCTTCATATAAACTACTCATTGCTTATGATGTAGTCCTAGCACTCCGTGTTGGTTGTGTACAGAAACTTCATACCAATTAAGATTTACAATGATTTCCAAAATGTCTACATAATATTATAGATACACCATTCTGTTTGTTTGTTTCCACTGAGATGGTATTTCTTTGCCAGGACTATTCCACAGTGCAGCATTGAACTTAAAGTGTTAGTAGACCAAAATCGACTTTTTATATCATTCCACCATGTTATAAAGTTTTTCCTTTATTAAAACATACCTGAAGAGGTTTTAGATGTCATCCATGCATGTTTAAACGGCGAAGAATAGTTCTGCGTCAACTCAACGCACACTGCCGTCATCACCTTGTCGCCATCGTTTTTGATTTATGGATCTGCATCAAGATCTATGCGCCGCGAAGTAATTCACCGCTAAAATGCTAGGGGGCTAGAATATGTCCTTTCATATATACGGTCTATGTGTATGACCTGCAGACGTATAATCTGTGAAAAGTTGTAATATGAACCATCTCCAACGTGATAAAAGCACAAAACAGACTCACCATTAGTCCTTTTTAAGTCCAATAGGAGCGAGCTGTTTTTTGAGCGCTTGGTTTATGCAAATTAGCCACGCGCTTTTAAGTTTTGTTTCTGTAAAACATAAACAAATATGCTCAAATCTGTATTAAAGACATTACTCAATGTATATTGAAAGAAAGGAAAGCTAAGTACAAGAAATGTATGTAGTGTGGTGGTAGAGAGGACCAGTCACAGCCTTTATTGTCTGCATCTCTTCCCCTGCTGTCTGTGTCTTTTCGACGTGTAGTTAGAAAATTTTATAACTTTTCTGGTGGATGGTCCATCAAATGCTTTTCTTCATGGTGTTATTGCTTTGTCTGAAATGTTTTACAGTATGGGATTAGAATTTTCTATTTTCATGGAGACCAAAGTCTAAGTTGTTGTTTTTTTGTTTAGTTTTTAGTTGTTTTTTTTGAGCTATTAAACCACCTGTAATTGAATAAATGTAAGCTAGAGCTGTTTAATGCCATACTGTGGGACATTCCAGGCAGAGCAATGACTTCTCCATAGAAACAAGCAGGTGACAGACCCCCAACCAAAACTTTACACACTGTACCTTTTAGGACAGACATTGTGCATAATTTACTTTTTTGAGCTTTTTAACCATTTTATAACCTAGTTCCCTCATTGACATACTTGGAAATGTATTTAATTTGATTCATGCCTGCTTCAGGAAGCCTATGAAGTAGGTGTACTCCCTGTGAGCTTCAGAAAACAACAATGATTTCACACGTAGAAACCTGGACTGTCCAAGTTGATAAGGCAATGACTTTTAGTCATTGCTTAATAAATATATAATATTGGACATTTCAATGTTAACGTATTGTTTTAAAATTTTCTCCAGGTTCCTACTGCTCAGGGCAGCATGATGATGCACATGCGCCCACCCACCACTGGCCCTTTCCCTAACCCCATACAGAGACCAGTCATGCAGGTCAACAAATCTGTCATCATTCGCTCCCCCCCTTATTCCAATCCTGGTCGTGACCCGCCTCACTCTGCACCCCCCTCAGCCCCTGAGCCCTCCATCAAAGGGCCAGAGGATGGCATGAAGGTGAGCCACCCACTGTAAATATAGGTAATTCAATAATTTTTTACCACTCCCATATAAATCAGTTCTGTATTTCATTTTCGATATGAGAGAATTCTAAGCATGTCTGTGTTATGTTTTTGGTATTCAAAGCCATTGATTATACAGTCTACATATATTTCACAAAGCATTTTAAGCAACCCAGAATTTAATTGTCAGTTGAGGAGTTAACTTTTAAACTAGGTTCCACACACAGCAGCTGGCTATTTCTGGTCAGAGGGAGGGTCAGTGCAGCCATTTACACTGTAATGTAATTTATGAGGTTTTTCTGTGTCAATACTGACAATTCAGGCAGTGGACAGGGAGCTGCGGGTGGATGTCACTGACACAACACTTAACAAATGAAAAAAAAAAAAAAAAAACATCCCGAAGGAGACTTCTATAAGTCTTTTTGTCTCAGTGCTAATACCGTAATTTCCAGACTATAAGCCGCTACTTTTTTCTCACACTTTGAACCCTGCAGTTAATAAAACGATGCAGCTAATATATGAACGGATTCTTTGTTTGGCACATTGTCCATTCATATATAAGGTCTATGATTTAGCAGCACAGTTGATACGTGCAACCTGAGTGCAGAAAACGCCACTGTCTATGTGGTTAACACATGGATCTAGGGTTAACATGAAGTTGCTACACTAGCTAACGATATTGTCAGCACACTCATGATGCAGCTATTAGTTAACGGCAATTGATCTGGCTGTGGAAAAAGGGAACAGAGCTGCTACATGTGAGCTCAGCATCAATGAGTCAATGGTGAGATTCTGGCGACTGCAGAAAAAAAACAACAAAAGCTTTCAGAGGCGAGAAAATCAGACAGCCCAAACTTGAAAACGTTTTTGAAGACATGGACACTTGCAGCTTATATTCAGGTGTGGCATATAATGTACAATTTTAAAAATTTGTTAAAATTTACTTGATGCAGCTTATATTCAGGTGCACTCAATAGTCCGGAAAATATGGTACTAACTCTTATTAAGAGAGTTATTCACATAACATAATAGTAAAATTGTACACTGCTCAAAAATTAAAGGAACACTTGGAAAACACATCAGATCTCAATATGAAACAAGCTCTATAGCTATACAAATATGGATAGGGCAATGTCAGGATGCCAGTCCTGAAAATGTTAATGGAAATAAAATTTTCAGCCTACAGGGGATTAATTTTATAGACACTCTGAAAATCAAAGTGAAATAATGACGTGGCAGGCTAGTCCACTTTGCCAAAATTTAATTTCTGCAACTCAAAATATTCCTCAATATCTTGTGTGACCCCCATGTGTTTGTGTACATGTTTGACAACGACGTGGCAGATCTGTGTAAGGGCATCACTGAGGAGAGCAACCTGACGGCATCAGATGGACCTAGACATAATGTCCCAGAGATGTTCTATTGGGTTGAAGTTAGGTTCATGACGGCCGTTCAACTGGATCAGTCCCTTCATCCTCCAGGTGCTGCCTGTGTACTCTTGCCACATGAGGCCGGGCATTGTCATGCATCAGGAGGACCCCAGGACCTCCTGCACCAGCGTAGGGTCCGACAGTGGGTTTAAGGATTTCACCCGATACCTAATGACAGTCAGACTGCCGTTTTCAAGGCGGTAGAGTTCTGTACGTCCCTTCATTGCTATGCCTCCTCGGACCATCACTGACCCACCACCACCCTGCTCATGCTGAACCATGTGACAGGCAGCAGAGCAGTCTTCTTGTCTTCTCCAGACTCACGTCTATCACAGGTGCCATCCTGGAGAAGTTGGGCAATCTGTGCAACTGCTGTAGGGTTAAGGAATGTCCTCATTCTCCCAGTAGTGATAATCACTCTAGCCAAAGCCAGCATTAGTGGAAAACTACCCAAAAAGACAAAGAGGGAGAAACTTGACCTCAACATGCAAAACCAGTCCTGTTTTAGGGGTTGTCCTAAAACAGGACTGGTTTTGAACTGTCAATATTTTTTTATAGAAATCCAACATATATTTTTTTTTTCTCTCATTGAAATCTGATGTGTCAAAGTGTTCCTTTATTTTTTTGAGCAGTATATTTGTAGAAACAATTACCTGTTTTTTTTTTCAGGTATAGATTATTTTAGACTGTGACTAAATATTTATTGGGGTTTGAAATGAGCATTAGCCCCAACACAAAAAGCACATCTTTATATACACAGATCTGTCCCCCATTTAATATGTTGTCAGTGACATCTACATCGAACATTTATGGAAATTTGGCAGCTGAACACATTCTGTACTGTACAGGAGACAGGAGTCCCTTAGCCAATCAGGACGCAGTAGGAGGAACGCAATACGCGTTCATACACTGTAAAAAAAAAAAAAAAAAAAAAAAAAGCATGAAAAAATTCCACGAGGCCGCGAAAGGTGAACCGTGATATAGTGAGGGATGACTGTAGAACTAGCCAGCTATTATTGTGCACTGAGCCAATTCATAATAGATTCTAAACTTGAGTTTAGTAGAGGGCAAAAAGCATTATCAATAGTCAAGAGTTACCATGACAAAAGTCAAGCAGGGCAATATGCATATCTCTATATTATATTATATTATATTATGTTATATTATATTATATATATATTTGAGTGCTTACATATTTTTATGAATAGGTATAAGTTCAGATAAGTGAGATACAAGGTAGGTTAACATTCTGTTTGAAAACTGAAAACTTTCCAAATTTATTTTAAGGGTTAATGTGTGTCTTTTACCAGCTTCTTGAAACAGGGCTCAGTCTGTTAATAAAACAAACCATTGAGATTGCAAGAATAATTGCTCATTTCAGTGTTTATGACTCCATCTAATTTTTTTGTTGTTTTGTTTTTGTTATATAGACCAAAACCATCCGAGATGTGCGCAAGGCAGTTGGTGAAGGCAAGGCAACACCTGTGGGATTAACCAGCAAACTACAGGAGCCTCTTCCTACAGGGCAAGCCAAACCAGCACGCACTGGAGCTATCAAACCCCAGGCTGTTAAAGTAGAGGAGGGCAAGGCGTAAAAATGGACCCTAAAATCCTCATTACACAGCCTGTAAACACACAGCCCCTTGCCCCCTCTCTTTTCTTAGAGCAAGGGACTGACAAAAATAAAATGTCCTCACAGACTTTCAGAACTGGACATTATTCCACACCACATATAGAGATATATAAATATATATACATAGAAATAAACAGTCTTTTAAGCAGATCTATTCAATGTCCTCTTTAATTTATTATTAGTCATTTTAAGAGCAAAATGCTATAGAGAAAATATGTTTTGTGTGTGTGTTCCTAAAGTGGGGGAAAAGACTGGGATTTTCATAATATTTTGCCAAAATATCACTATTGCAGCGTCCACTATTGCAGCATCTAGACCTCAAAACATAGGATGCATTTATAACATTAAGCAAAACTAATTTTCTGGAAAGTGCAGAGGTATTTTGACATTTTATTGGGCATTTTGCTCGATATTAGAGCCTCAAACTGTAAAATCCAAGGACTGATTTTTAATCAGAACAGAAAACTAGTTTGTGGACACTTGCATGTCAATGCATTTTTTTTTCCTGGGTGATCTTTTTTTGCCTGTTATTTGGCTTTTTGAAGATATGGGGGCTTTTCAGCTGTTGCTTGCTTGAGAACATTTTACCAAAATCATGTTGCTTCCATGAAAACAACTCTGACATTTAAACAATGTGTGCATGTGATGTGCTGAACATAAAAAAAAAAAACATTAACTCAAATTGAGCCACATACTGTGATCAAACAATGTGGTGACAGCAGTTTTTGGGAGAGGGTCTTGAACTGATCCACCATAGCTGTAAAACACAATAGCTGATTGAATTGCTGGCATAATTATGATTTTTGGAGTTCTACTGCCACATAAAAATGTGATTTTTACATATAATTTGGGGTTCAACTTTTTCTTTCCTTTTTGTTGTTTAAGGTCAGAATTTGTTCAACAAATTGTTTTATATGTGCTTCAAGGATAGCTCTGCCAGTGTTTATTCAGCTTTTTCTCTCTTAAGTGGCACAAGCAATAACATGCTGCCTAGATATAATCACATGTAGGGTCCAAGGAACTTTCTCTAAGAAGTCTGAGCAAAGCGGTCGTTTGGCATTACCTAAATTTGGGATTTTGTTCTTTTTTTGTGAGCAGTGTCGTTTCATTGGACAAAGAAGGACTTTTAAACCTTTTCTCTCAAAATGTGAAGCTGTTGAAATTAATCATTTTTGGTTTTGTAATGATCACTTGTTTTAAAACTCACAATATCATGTCAAACCGTTTAAATGTTGCTTACTAAAATGCTTCATGACACTACAAAATGTTGCAATTTCTCTTCTACAGTGTTTCACTAATTGTGTATGCATTCTTAAATGTACAGTTGAATGGTTCAGAAGAGGCCTAATTGCACACATTTCATTTTAAATAAATATTGTGGCACTATAAAGGATTGATCATTTAAAGGTCACTGTGTTTTAAGAATGGACAGCTTTTCATGTTTTGGGCGGGACTTGAAGTGCTTTGCCTCTTCTCTATTACTGCAAAAGATCTTCATGCTTCTCATTGTATCAAAATGTTTTACCAACTTTTTGTACTTTTAAGACTCATTATTTCATTGTCAAAGTACTACCAGTTTCTACAGCTGGTTCAGCACTCTGTGCTACTGATCTTTATCCTTTCATATACTTGGTTATTGCGCTCCCTTGTTAAAAAGCGACAATTGAAAGAAAAGAAATAAAGCAGTGGTGATTTCTTAAATGTATAGCAAAGCAGTCTTCTCATTTGTGAAATGAACCCAGTGTATTAGTTATCTGTGTGTCAACCACGATCTCTCAAGGCTTGACCCGCCTCCTATAAGACATTCTTAAGATTCTTGTTGCAGACTAGCCTACATCACACACAGGCTTGTTTGGGCAGCGCCATCGGCCAGAGGACTTGCAAATCAACCGCTTGTTGGATACCGGATTACTTGTATATTATAATCTAAATTGATAGTTGCAAGGTAAACTCAACATTGCATTTAATAAGGTATGTTTATCTCTGTTGTTATGATTACCACACAAATCTGTCTTTTAAAACTCTTGGATTTGCTAAAGTAAGAGCCCTGGTATATTTTTCACAAAATCCCCAAAGGAGTAGACAACTTGCAGCCTATTGTTATATCATAAGGGTATCATAAGCGTTTCCTCCTAGCTTTACTGCTGCTGATGTTATTACTCATTATAGTTTTCTTAGATTACACAGTTGAAGGGGATTTAAGAATTTGCATGTTTTTAATGTTTATATGAAGAAACCTTAACCAAATGATACAGGATCTTATTTTACAATGCTTTTTTTTTTTTTTTTTTAACTTGTTAAAGTACACTTATTTTGCCAAGTAAACTAACTCTTTGTATGGAATACACCTAGAAAATAATTTTACCTGGCCCGGCAACACTTGTTTTTCTGTTGGTCAACCAAATGTGTCCCCATAATACTGTTCTTTAGATTATGTCACTGGCCATGTTTACATGCACACCACAATCCAATTCTAATATGATTGCTGGACCTTTATTCAAGTGGTAGAAAAAATCTGATGTGAATAATCTAAGGGACCATGATAGGAAAAAATTATTATTTTGCTTTTTACTTGTCATTTTAATAGTCTGAATATAATATAATTAATATGATCTGATGATAGTCAGGTTTTGACTGTACATGTAACCACAGCCACAATCAGTGTTCTTAATCAATCAAGACACCCACAATTAACATGAAAGCATATTTGTTGTGTGTGTGTCCTGGCTTACATACAGATATGGACAAAATTGTTGGTACCCCTCTGGCAATTAAAGAAAAATCAACAATGTTCACTGAAATAACTTGAAACTAATAAAAGCAATAGGAATAAAAAAATCATATATATATATATATATATATATATATATATATATATATATATATATATATATATATATATATACACACTGAAATTGTCCAGTGAAAATTGAACATTGCTTTTCACCTGTGGTTCAACAGAATCATTAGAAAAAACAAAATAATGAAACTGGCCTGGACAAAAATGATGGTACCCTTTACTTGATACTTGATACTGTTACATAACCTTTTGAGGCAAACTCTGCAATCAAACAATTTCTGTAACTGTGAGACTTCTATGCCGGTCAGCTGGTATTTTGACTAGGGGTGTCAAATTATCGCGTTAATTGCGATTAATTAATTACGGTCATATTTAGCGCGTTATATTTTTTAATCGCGTTAATCTCATTTTTAATCTCTAACTTTACTGTTTTTGTACGTGAGTTGCCTTACTATAAAATCTGTTTTATGTGTTGTTGGGACAATAACACATCGCTTCCGCAAACAATTGTGATTTTCTTTCTCGTTCTCGCCGCATCTGCGATAAACCTGCACACGTCTGATCTCTGAAAACATCACGACACAAACACAGAACAGACTCACCTTCACCTTCAACACTCTGTCAGAACACTCATATTCCACTGAGTCGTGTCCTTCAGTCCCACAGAAGCTGAACCGCATCAGCGACACACGAGCATTTTTTTTTTTTTCTGCTTAGTTTATGCAAATTAGCCATGCGGTTTTTAAGTTTCGTTTCTGTGAGACTTGCGCAAATCAGCATTAAACACATTATAATGTCAAACGAGCTGATGTGGCTCTAGAGTGTTCCTGGTTCATATGTAATAATAATAATGTAATAATGAATTTAAATGAAAATACCTCAAGTTGAAGGCTTTTCTCAGCATTTTTTAGGTGAGATTAAAAAGAGATTAATTAGATTAATTCATTACAGATCATAATTAATTAATCTCTCAATTTTTTTAATCACCTGACAGCACTAATTTTGACCCAATCCACGTGAGCAAAATGCTCTAGTTGTCTCAGGTTTGAAGGGTGCCTTCTCCAGACAACATGTTTCAGATCATTTCACAGATGTTCAATAGGATTGAGATCTGGCCTCACAGAAGAATTCAGAACAGTTAAATGTGTTTTGTTCTTAACCATTCTTGGGTGTTTTTAGCTGTATGTTTTGGGTCATTATCTTGTTGAAAGACCCATGACCTACAACTGAGACCAAGCTTTCTGACACTAGGCAACACATTTTGGTCCAAAATACCTTCATTGTTTTGCTGCATCTGGAACAGGGTGTCTTGAATCTGTGCAAGGTACAACAGAATCTCAAAACAGCCCCAGAACAAAACCAAGCCTCCTCCATGCTTCACAGTAGGGACAGTGTTCTTTTCTTGGTGTGTTTCATTTTTGCATCTGTGAACATAGAGCTGATGTGTTTTGCCAAAGAGCTCCAGTTTTGTTTAATTTGTCCAAAGGACATTCTTCCACAAGCTTTATAGCTTTTCAATATATATTGTGGCAAATTCCAGTCTCACTTTTTTATGATTTGCTCTCAACAGTGGTGTCCTCACATGAAGTCCACTTTGGCTCAAACAGTGACGGATGTTGCGATCTGACACTGATGTACCTGGCCCTTCAAGTTCACATTTCATTTATTTGGAAGTTGTTCTGGGCTCTTTGGTTACCATTCGTATGATCCATCTCTTTAATATGTCATCAATTTTCCTCTTGCGGCCGCGTCCAAGGAGGTTGGCTACAGTCCTGTGGACATTAAACTTTTGAAAAATATGTGCAACTGTAATCACAGGAACATCACACTGCTTGGAGACGGTCTTATGGCCTTTATCTTTAACTTGCTTGTCTATCATTTTCTTTCTAACCTCCTGTCACAGTTCTCTTCTTCTCTTTCTCTGGTCCATGTTCAGTGTTGTATCCATCATGTCTCCAAACAGCACAATGACACATGTCCCCCTTTAAACAGGTAGACTGACTGAGGACACCTGTGACGCTAATTAAAGGACACACCTAAGTTTAACCCAATTGTCCCTATTGTCAAATTATTTGCAATCTTTTTTTATGGGTACACTGTAAACCCAAATTTTCTTTTACATATTAAGCCATGCTAATATTACTAATCTTTTTAATATTTTGCAAAAGGCGGGACCATTACTAAACAAAGTGTGAATTGTAAACTATTTTAAACTAGTATTTGCTGTACTAATGGCCCTGAGTGGAGACGGCTCACACTTGTATGTTTTTACCGGTGAAGGGAGGGGCGTGGCACCTGAACACTCCCAAACTGCACCAAACCACATTTGACTTCTGCTCGGACTGTTGGCTGCAATTCAGCGTCAGTCTTTTTTATCATCATATGGTAAGTGAATAAATATGGTTTCTGTTCCCGTGAGACTGAATAGTTGGTGACATTGGTTGACGCTTGCAGCCAAATAAGGCTAACGTGAAGTTAACTTGTGGTCACGATGCGCTCGCTATCATCTGTTAGCCGCTAACAGAGAACAGCTAATGCTAACAGTTAACGGTGTCTGAGCCGGTACTACCGGCATCTTTACCGGCCCGGTAGAGATGCGCGGAGGCGGACTCCGCGGCTAAACCGCGGCTCGGGCGGATGACGCGACGAAAAATACTATTTTAATCAAATTCGGGCGGGTGGCGGTTTAACGACGCATGGACCCACAGAACTCCTCACGTACACCGTGTCTTCTCACATACACCGTGTGCACCGCGCCTTTTTTTTAATCGAGACTCGTTTTCGTTGTTTGCTATATGATTGTTCTAAAATCTAAAATCGTGGGTGCAAATGGAGAGTTTGGAGTTCAAGTTTTTAGATTATCACCACAAAATTGCATAAAAGCTTTGGTTGGAATTAAACACTAAAACATATTTTCTGTTTTACAGGTGACTACCCAACATGCTGTGGAGCTGTAAATACTGTGAGTTCAGCTGTGATAAGAGAGGTTACAACCTCAGACCCTACAGAACACAGATTTCTTTCTTTTTTTAGATTTGTCTGGAATTCAAAAGGATTGTGGGAAAAGACCTGCACCAGGAATTTTATTCTGCCCTTGATAACCACACTACCCATTTTATTGAAAGTTTTAAAGCTAAGAGGGGCAACGTGGGTGACAGTTGGCACAGCTTTTGCAGCAAATACAGGTAAAACTTTTGTAACCCGGATAAAAATACATGTGTAGTAAAAGCATAAGTTCATAACAGTTAATCTAAAATGGATTAAAAGATAATTCATTTTTATTAAAATACATAGTTCATGTTAATGGTTAAATGTATATTTACAAAAGTGTTTGCGTCTCTTTATATTTCTTTTAATTTATCATACAGTATCCATTTTCTGTCTTACAGTCACTGGATTCTACTGAAAAAAGGACAGTCACACTAAGAGGTCTTCCTTACTTACTCGGAGACAGTCCCACCGAATTCTTCAAATCTAGCTTTGTAAGTGTACATTTTGTTTGTAATGTGAAACTTTTAGAATGTGACATTTATTGTATAATTTGAATATGCCAAAACTGACAAGTAGTCTATACATTACGAGCTTCAGCCATTCCATGAATATTATTTATCTTAAAGTCAGATTATTATTGATTTTCAAATATTTGTTTGAACATTTATCAGTCATCATGTCAGCATAAATTTAATTTCATACAATTTATGTTTTGTCATTCTTATTGAGTCTGTTCTAGTTCAGTAATTTCATTCACTAATGGTTATGTTTCTGGCATTAATTTTTTAGTTTTTCTTTAGGATGGTGATGAATCCTTTCGCCAAATGGACATTGGGATCTTGTTAGTAAATCTGAAGGTGTCTCTCTTCCAACACCAGATCTTCACCCAGCAAGCCTGAAAATCATCATTGAGGGTGAAATTGTTATGGACAAGCTGACAACCCTTATAACCCCTTGTTTGAATTGTGAAATGTAAAAAAGACTGCACTTTATTCAGGTTTAAGCATGTTATTATTGCACTATTTTTGCAATAAATTTGTGAGAAAAAAATTGTCATTTTATGTCAATTAAAAAAAAAAAAAAATGATGTATAATTTGCATCTAATTATTATAATTAATAAACATATTCAATAAATACTCAAATATCAGAAATACATACTGATAAAAATAAGTAATGATTACTGTAATACACAAGTAATGGTTAGTTAATTACTTGTAAACATTAGTTTTAGAAACTTAAGTTCTTTAGTAATGGGTTATCTTGGACAGAAGATTTTATGTAAACAGAGCTTGATTTGTTTAGTTTTTGATATTGTAAAAACTAGACATCCCAGTGCAATCACTTACCATGCACGGTTTTAGTAATGATTACTAATTTGGGTTTACAGTGTACCATCATTTTTGTCCTGGCCAGTTTCAATTAGTTTTTTTTTTTTTTTTTTATATAATTCTGTTGAACAACAATTCAAAAGCAGTGTCTGATTTTCATTGGTTATTTTTAAGGATCCCCCCCCCCCCCCCCCCCCATTTATTATTGTTTTTCTTAATTTCAAGTTATTTCAGTGACCATTGTTGATTTTTCTTTCATTACCAGAGGGGTACCAACAATTTTGTCTATGTCTGTATACTAGGGTGACCATTTTTCCATTTGTGAAAACCCGGACACTTTTGGGGGGGACTAATCTTGGACTTAAAAGAGAAAACGCCGAGCAGTTTGTCCGCAAAGCACGATCGGGCAATTGCCGCGTTTACCTCAGTGAGGTGCGGAGATCTCCATCGGTCCCGGTCTCGTGCGGTCAACTCTGAGCTCGTCCCAACAGTGAGTCCTGTTTGACTTCTGGTTTAGTCCTACTTCAGTCCTGGTTTAGTCCTCCTTTTCAGTCCTGGAATCAGTCCTGGGTTAGTCCTGGGTTAGTCCTGGTTTAGTCTTAGTTCAGTCCGTGGCGTGTGCAGCGCAAAAGTTTGATATAATCTCGGGTTAACGGGCAGGTGTGGTCCTGTTCTGGCGGGTGCGGTGCTGTACTGTACTGGGAGTCTCCAAAAATGTAGCCGTGCAGGACTCTGCGCTGTTGACTCCATTACGGAATAAATGAATCTTTGGTTCGTTACGAAGGAGGAAAATAACATAAAGACGACAGCCGCAATAAGTTTTAGAAGGATGCAAAGAGGGTTGTACCTCTCCTGTCTGAAAAAAGTGTATAAAGTGTGTGCTGAGGGGTTTTACAGCCTTAAAACAGACAGAATAATTGTAAAATATAAGGATTTCACCTATCACGGGTTATTTTTAGAACGTAACTCCTTCGATAAACGAGGGACACTGTACTCACACCTCAACCTGTGCACATGGCCTCTCACTTGTCCCGACCGGGACGGAAAACGGAGAATTTCTTGTACAAGCCATTGTTAAATGTGCATTTCGTTTCTGCATGTTGCAGACTGACCGACTGTTTGTGTCTCGCTCCTTCTGAGTCACAGACGCTACGAGAGACGCTCAGTATAATGTCCCCAGTGAACGGTACTGAAAACCCGGACATTTGCATCACTTTATTTAAAAAAACCCGGACGCCCCGGACAGGACGCAAAATACGGACATGTCCGGGGAAAAACGGACGTTTGGTCACCCTACTGTATACTATTTGACATGCACATATTTGACTTGATTTGCTTGCCCTATTACTAGCTTTTCACAGCCTTTTCAAATAAATAAATTATATGATATAATGTTATCTGTAATATTCTGAGGACTTTTCACCATTCAAAGAGGATATTTTTTCATCTTTAAATTATTTCTACCCACGACCCTTAGCCAAAGGGCCCAGTGCGCCCCAGGGATCGTGACTCCCTCTGTTCTTGGATTCCCTGGCAGTAAATAACTCTTAACTGTCTTTTAATTGTCTTCTTCTCTGATTCAGAATGGCTTCAAAGAGTGCAATTAGTCCTGACGAAAATCTCATGATGATGCAGGAGCTGGAGGATCGCCTTAAGGAGCAGATTGATAAACTTGAACATGTGCACCTCACTACTCTAGACATTAAGGAAAACCTTTCAGCGGTAGTAGCCTTAAAGACCAGTGGTCTAAATAGACTGACTGTACTAAGATCTCCGCTTTTCTTTTTTACAGACAAATAGAACTGACTTAAATGAGGCAATTTCAGACCATCTGGACTGGTTAAATGACTTGTCGGAGCGCTTGGACACACTTCACATGAATACAACTGTTTTTGTTCAGGTGATTTCATTACATTATAGCCTATGGATTATAGCAGTTTCTTAAAAAGAGTTCTAAAATTATAGAATTTGGGATTGTATGTTTGTAAATTGTTTAAATAGAAATTCCCTATTGCATTAACATACACAAACGAGTTCTATGCTACAGCATATGGTCTATGGTCTCTACATATTCCTCATGAGTATATATTTGAATAAACTGTCCTGTGTCTCTCTCATTTTGCTTTTTTTTTTTTTTTTTTTTAATTGTATTAAGTTTTGAAGGACTAATGTTCAGGGACACTGAGCCTCTATCTCCCTGATAAAATGCACAGAAATGAGGATGACTATAGCCTATATAAAGAGCTTTTTGGGCCTATGGAAGCTGAAATACATATCTATATATCTATAATCTTATTTCATTTTTAAATTCTTTCTTGTTTACAGATCAATCTGAAGCCTTGTGCGAGGACTGGGAAACATGACACAAAACACCACTCCCACAGAAGTCGCTTTCACCAAAACAATGATGCTCGCTCAGAATACACCTGGTCTCCCACTCGAAGGAACAGTGATGCTGCTTCTGAGATGTCCAGTAACTGGTGACGCCCTTTGCTCCAGGACCATGACAAAGGCTATTGGTCTAAACGTAGCCTCAGTTATATATGCATGTTTTCTATTTTCCTTTTATAGGCATAAATTATGTATTTCAGGCACAGTTGTGCATATCACAAATGTCGCCATCTTAAGAAATGCGCACATTTTCTTATTAAAATGAAATGAGTTTTGTTCCAACTTTTAGACAAATACAGTTTACATTTTTCTTTTGACTAATGAACAGATTTGGACAGGTGACCTTTGGTCTTTTTCGTCAGAGTAATACTTTTTAGCAGGCTCTATTGGGAAATGTATGTTTGGGCAATACATTGAATTAGCTTGACTAATTTCTGTTTTTAACAATCAGCAATGAGTAAAAACTAAATTTAGGTGTATTATTAAACATGTTTACTCCTCACTTTCTTATTAGCAAACAGAGGACAGGGGAGTAACACTTCAGCATGAAATGGTCCACTTACACGTGACGTGACTAGGCCCACTAAGCTACATGATAAAATCATTCAGATATAGGCGCATGTGTTTGTTTTGAAATCTGTTTGTAGTAGGACTGTATATTCTGTAGATTCAATATCTTTCTTTAATTTTAGGCCTACAGATCCTGATTGTAAATGCATTTTAGTTAGCTTTTTCGTGTTCATTAATACCAATTCATGAATTGCATTGGCAAGCAATCATTGTAATGATCTTTGATTTTGGTTCTGTTACTTTAATAGATCCATGGTACTACTGTTGAGCAGCCAAAAGGCCTGCATTGTTGTACCATTCCCCGCCACCTAGTGTCGCTAAAGTGACCGTTTTCATGATCTCGTCTGTTGTAAATAAAGCCGAGCGTGCTGCGTGCGTTGGACGCGTGGGTGAGACTTCTAGAAAGGACGGCGTAACGTCCCGATCCGAGACAATAACCATATTAGGCAGGCCAATTACAAGCTTTTTTGTATCACATATTGTACGAGTACCGAGTAATATAAAAAATATGGCTGAAAGCGACTGGGACACCGTGACGGTCTTACGGAAGAAGGGGCCGACCGCTGCTCAGGCCAGATCCAAACAGGTTAGCAGTGTGGCTACAGTGAACTAACTACTAACGCGGATATATATGGACCGAATTTAAGTCCAATTTGAAAGTATCGGGCATTATTGTTAAACTATATTTTACACTGAATGCGAAAATACTGGAAAAATTCCTGCTGAAATGGTCAATTCCGACAAGTTCTATGCTACGTGTTAAGTCACCAAAGATGAGCTAATCCGTTTTGTTGTTAAAAAAAAGCCTTAAAAGTTATTATTTCCGTAGATTCGTTTGAAAACACTTATTTAAAAATAAATGTAAGAATGGTATCTTGCTAGTTGGACTTCTACCATACAGTCTAATGCCGACCATGTTAAGCCTAAGTGAAGTTAACACTGCCTATGGGCTTCATTCGCAGTCGTTTGTACAACACGTCGGCCTGTGTCCTGTTATTCAGTCCAATTTTTACCTCAGGTTTTTATGTTAAGCGTATCTATTCAGAAGAACCACTCGAGTCACATTTTTAGCCAGTATAGGCTAACCATATGTTTCAGATTAACTATCTTGCAGAAAGTTATCAGCATTTGTTGTGGTATTGAATCCTTATCCTAACTTGCTGTAACGAACGCGAACTGTTACATGCAGGATAACCCTTCCACTTAGTTAGTTCGTTCCACATTAGTTACAACCAAAAATAACCGACTATATTACTTTCCTGTTTAATTATGTATTATCATTTATAATGCTGAAAGGCTGGAATTAAGATTTCGCGTTTTCCTAGGTTTCCTAGGGTTTGCGCCACTCAGTAGTGATCATAGATTGGGCAATTATTGACACACAGCCTGCGACTACTAATAAAATATTAACATTGTTGTTCTGTTGTGTCCAGGCAATCACTGCTGCCCAGAGACGTGGAGAAGAGGTCGAGACTTCCAAGAAATGTAAATAACAGAAGTTTTAATCTGTTTTGTTTGTTGAAATCACCCAGTCTATTTTAAAGTTAGTATATTTAATTATACAATTTACACTCAGTGTTTATGAGCATTATAAAAGTGAGTGAAAATTGATCTACCTGAAACTGGCCAAGTATGTAATGGAAGCCACAGATAATGAATGTGTTTCAGCATGCTTTATTTTATTTATTTAGGGTCTGCGGGACAGAACAAGCAGCACCTAGTGACAAAGAACACAGCCAAACTGGATCGAGAGACTGAGGAGCTGCACCATGACAGGGTTCCACTTGAGGTGGGGAAAGTAATTATGAAAGGCAGACAAGACAAAGGCCTGACTCAGAAAGACCTGGCCACTGTGAGTATTTTCTCATCACAATTTACTTACTACTTTACTAGTGGCACTAATCTTTTTTTATAAAATGTTATGTTTTGATCCACTCTTAACCATTATTTCTTGCACTGTAGAAAATAAATGAGAAACCCCAGATTATTGCAGACTATGAGGCTGGGAAAGCTATCCCCAACAACCAGATTATGGGCAAAATAGAGAGGGCGATCGGTGAGGACCGTGCATACTTTCTGATTCACAAATGTATTGATTCAAGTTTGTTACAAACTGTGATTGAACTGTGAAATATTATCTTTCTACAGGGCTCAAACTACGTGGGAGGGAAATTGGCCAACCTCTAGAGGCAAACCCCAAAAAGAAATGAACACAAAGCCTCGAAATCAGCCCTCCCTTCACCCATTGTTCCTACTAATGTCCTTTGAATCTCATCCTTACCTTGCCCCATATACCCTGACCTGAATTGCCCTCCTTGTCCCCCTACTGGGCTGATCACACCAATGTTCTGCATTAGAACTTGGTGCTTCGTTGTATATTGACAAAATCTGTTATACTTAAAATGAATGATTGAATGCATTTTCAGATTGAAAAGCTTTGTGAAGACTATTATTCTTTGCCATAGGCATTTGTATGATTCAGTCATATTAAAGATTAATGTCCATTAATCAGTTTCATGATCACATACTTAATATTCTGCCAAAAGTGCTTGATTGTATCTCACAATGGGTGGATTTTTTTGTTCTGCTTTCAAACAACACAATAAAGATAGCAAATCACTGTGTGATTTATCTTTTCTAAAATGAGATATTTTTATAGGAGTATTTAACCACCAGATGTCACCAGTATCCAATTTTTCTTTTCCTTTGAGGTGCTCGAGTTGAGCAGAAGCATTGACGCGGCAGACTTGATCTAGAATTACCACTAGATGTCAGTACCACTATACCTTTTGTGGAACTAATGGACTATGTTTACTGCCGGCTTGACACAATTGTACCTATTGAAAAACAATCACGTCTGTACTCGTCAAATATGCACCGTTTAGAAAATAAAATAGTCGGCTCCAGAGTTGCCGATTTTGTTAAAAATGCTTTATGGATTCTTGCCAACACTTCTTTCCGTGAAAACAGACCTGCATTGCCTTTCCATTGGTCAAAATGCCTTAGCAACAAAGTTCCAACCTATAACGAGGGGCCAGACAGTATTTTGAACAAGTGACGCATAAAGCTATGCTTTGTCAAACTGCCTCAGATTACTGAGTAACTTCTTGGAAACATTCACAACAATAATAATTATAGAATAGAAATAATACACATTTGTTTTAAAACGAAAACAAATGGCACTTTATCACCAAATGAGTTTAATTTTAAATCAGACCAGAATTAAAAGTACCTGAAAGAATCCAATCTTAAACAGGGTGTGAAAAATAATATTTTTTGGTTGAGTTCTGTGTCTAGAATACAAAATGATTGTAAAAACATTTCACTGATACTTACAGATAATTAAACCAATATAAATACTTAAGTGATACTGTGATACTGATATAACTTAAGACCAGCTTGGGCTTGTTGATCTTCTTTTAATCTATAACTTAAAATCAGTGTACAAGAATGTGAAATGCCAGTTTCACAAAACTAATATATTTACATTGTGTCAAAGTTGCTGTTACATACAAAACACCAAAAGGCACCGTCACAAATGTCATGACATTTACATTTCAGTGTAATTCAGTTAAATGACGTTTCATAATGAAGTCTAGCCAAAACATGTTTTACAGATGACGTGACAAACAACATGTGCTAATGAGGATGTGTTAGTTGCATTTTTAAACAGACAAGTCATGTAAGACATGAGGTTTAGCTGCACATTTACAAAGCAACATACTGTAAACTAATTGGGTGAAACATTAGTACCTTATTGATAGCCAGAGCCAGACCACAAACATTCACAGCTCTTCAGCTTGATCAATAAAAACTTTTTGCGTCTTTGTTCATTCATGTTTGTGGCACGCTTTACTGTGTAAGTAACACTGCAGATTCACATTATTTACTACATGATGAAAAGAGCCTTAACATTTATAACAGGGCTGCACGTTCTCCAGAGTCCTCACTGACGTCAGTTATTTGAGAGAATAGAGCAGTTCGGCGGTATGGCACAAAGACAGAGGGTGAGCTGAGGAGAAATATTGGCAGCAGAGCCAGTCTTCCAGTTCAGCATTTCTCTCTGGTTCCAGGGAGCGCTCTGCAAATTTCATCATGAGCAAGGCTCGCTTTACATCCAGCCAGTTGAGAAGACCTTCGTGTCTGGAGGCATCCATGAGGTTGGCTCCCTGGCCATGCCTCTCTTTCTGTTGCTCCATAAGATCCTTCCTTGGGCCCCACAGCAGGCTCTGGAGAATACGCTTTGCCTCCTGGATGTGTATGCGTTTGATGGGATCTGGTTGGAGCAACAGCTGGGCCAGCTTCTGGAGACCATCTGAATACAGGGACACAGACGGGATGGAAGGCAAGTCCTCACACCGGTAGTCCTGTTCTTTTAGTGCTGGGCTAACTTCAAATGGGTTGGGCTGGTGAAGAAGCTCATAAATTAAGATGCCAGTTTGGAACTCATCAAATTTGCGATACTGAGCAGCAGAGACAATTTCTGGGGCCAGTCTGGCATGGTCTCGTTTGGTTCTAGGATCTATGCTGTGGAAAGCACCATCTTCAGCAGAACGACGCTTAGCTTTTGCAAAGTTGCTAATGAGAAGTCGAGGGAGGTGGCGCTGAATGGCTAGAGGGCTGCAATCACTGTCAGCACAAGTGAGAGGTGGTCTGTGATGTGGAACCAACAAAAGGTTTTCCAGGCAGAGGTCCCTGTGTGTCACTCCATGTTCCTTTAGGTGCTCAAGTCCATTACACAGCTGCAAAAGAAGGAAGCACACTCTCCTCTCGTACACCTCAGGCTGTTCTTTATGGAATGCCCCCCACTCACGGACAAAATCTGCTGCAGTTTGTTGTGGGACATCCGGAGTGATGACCACCACTCTTTCTCTGTCCATTGGCTGAGCAGTAGACGAGGCTGCTGGCTTGATTACCTCCTCTGAGGGCAACATACTCTGTGGTACACAGGCCATGAAGTGTCCACAGTCCTGCTGGAGATTGAAGTGTGTAGGCATGCTCTGCAGCACAGACAGGCCGTAGAGATGACCCTGCTTGGCCTCCACAGACGGACTCTTGCAGATCTAAAGACAAGGAGATTAAAAGGTAAAACTCCAATAATAAACAGGAATTTAAAAAATATGGGAATTCTTGTTAGAATTTCAAGATCAAATCAAGTTCAGTTTCTAAGGTAATGTGACTACGGTAACTATCATAGACTCATCAATCATTTAAAAGAGTGTGTGCTTGCTTACCTTAACAGCATAGGAGTTACTGGGGTCTGAAGCACAGGCAGCTGAATAGTACACTGCATCTCCTCCACTGCAGCTTGGTTTGTTGGAAATGAGTCGAAACAGAGACCAGTTGCTCTCTTCAAACCTAAGAGGGTTTCTCTGTGAGCGAGTGAAGTGATCTTCACATTTTAGAGCTAACCTTCGCAGAGACTCTGCATATAGTCCTCCGAGTTTGGAGTACACTCCTTCCCTGCTGTCGATATTACTGAGCAGTGTCTGTAGCTGGAGAGTAGAGCCTACATTTGTAGCAGTTCCTAGTTCAGTGGCTGGCAGAGGGCCGCTGAGCTGAGGGGAGGAGGAGCAGGTAATGCTGCTTCGACAGTGAACCCCAAGCCGTCTTTTGAATGGTTCATCTAAAGTTCTAGATCTGGAGGGTTTACCGAGGGGAGCATGGCAACGCTCTAGACATTCATTTGATGAGAACATGGACTTTGGGTCCACAGGACTGGATGGTAAACTGGACTGGGAGCTGGCTTCAGGCTGACACCTTGGGCTTTCTGAACCAGTCAATAGAAGGTTTGGATAGGACCGAATGAACTGTTTTCCACTATCAGGAGCAGACATGGTTCTGTTGACCATTTTCTTCTCTGGGAGAGGAGGAGGCTGGTTACTTGTGCTGTCACATGTGTTCGGATGAGGAGAGCCCGGGGCTGATGGCAATGGGCTGCGAGGAAATGGAGAGGAGCAGGACATTTGTGTAGAATCTCGGGGCCCTTTGTAAGCAGAAGTTACATTTCAGTTATGGTTGTCTTCAGATAGATAGATTTATTAGGAATAGAGACACACATTCATTTTATCACTTTCATCAAAAGTACAAACTACTAATTTGGTAGGCAAGTTATTTGGCGTAAAAACACTAAGCAAATCAAATGGAAATGCAAATCTCAGAAATTAAACACAAATTTCCAAATCTTTTCATGTCACTCATAGCATAGAATTATACCAGTATACTAGAGTATAAACACATTTCAACCTGAAAATAACAGGTACATATAACATATACACATCTTAAAACTGTCCAAAAGTTTATTTACAACGAACATTGGATACTTACCAGAATCAGCAAGACTGTCAGTGGAGGCTGTAGGTAAACTGACATGCCCCAAGCCTCGAAGAGATGAAGCACAGCTTTCTACTGACCCTGGATTACTGCAGCGGTCTAGTTCCATGTTACTGCCACTCATTCTTCCACATAGTCTAAAAAGGTAAGAAAAAAAAAAAAAAAAGTCATTTAAACAAAAAAGAACATTTTGAAACACTTCAAACCTAGGGCGCACATTTGTCTGGTGGTGATATAAAACCTGATACAAAAACAGTTCCTGTGGCATCATGTGATGGCAAAGCACACTTTCCAATTCCCCTTTTAATTTCTATATGTTGTTGTATCAAAACACTGTCAAGCGCTACACTTGCATGAAATTAACACATTTTAAATCAATGTGTTGTATTAGGCATGATGTCCTCTGTCCATTTATAATGGTAATAGATCAGACTCAGCACAGGGACAGACATGGTATATATTAAAATGTCAATATTGAAATGCTTGAGAAGTGCTGAAGCAGTGGAGGAAAGCTAAAGGCTAAAGAGATTAAAAGTCCAATATGTGCACAGTCTAAAAGATCCTTCAGTTTTGTATCCAAAACAGATGTCCTTTGAAGGGATATTAGAATGAGTACATATGTAGAGGCATGACAACGGTGTCCAACTATACCATCACTCTATTTCAAAGTACACACAAATTTTATGTTAAGATCGCCTGGCCCTGTCAAACATTATCACACTAAAGGCAGAGACATTAATTTGACAAAATGAAAATAATCTGAAACATACATGTAACCTACCTCATGCTGAAAAAGAAAAAGTTCTTGTTCAGGTGTCAGACTGAGAATGCCCCTGGATCACAGTGGTGCTTTGCTAAAGCCTGAAAGTAGTAACACAACCCTGCATCCACACGAGTCATAAGTGTATTTTAAGGTACTGTCCGCAAAATGAAAATACCCTCATAGTATTCGACAAAACAAGGGGTTTGATTTAGAGTTGCATCAAGATGCTATCTGTAGTGTAGCAGAGAGGTTACAAAGTGGCACAGTGGTGGGTGGGGCATAGGATCCTACAATGAAACATTAAAGACTCTGATCCAAATGAGACCCTCTGAAACAGAATCTATGCCCCGTCTATAAATGTGCTGTATTTCTATTGCCGATGACTAAGTGCCAAAGGGGGACTGTTTGTGAGTCGCCATGGGCAACAATCTGCTCTCTAAAACCTCTCCGTATGGGCAACATCTGATCATTGCTTGTCTTCATCCGTGCCTACTTACAACCATCAAAAACAGGTTTCTTTAACATTTTTAGTTCAAATAACCTGTTCACCACATGAATACTAAACTGCTTAACTAATTGGTTTGGTTGGATCAGCATGACGGTCAGTAACTGAAGAATACTGTTATGGCACTGTACAAAGTTACTTCTCCATCAGACCCATAATCATCAAAATATCTGTTTATTTATTTTCAACAATCACCAGAATGTGTTGATAGACCACCTATCCCTCTGATAAACACAGGGCAACAACAGTCGTAGCTTGGCTAAAGGCGTACGGCCACATGTGTCTCAACAAGGTGTATTTTTATCAGTGCAGAATGTTTGCAATGTCATAACAGCAGAGTTAGCCCCTTTCTAGAATTACCATAAACATAAGGACCCTTGAAATGTGATCAGCCATTACTTGATTTGAGAGGTAGACACTCGCCTAAAACATCTGTCCAAAGTTATACTGTCCTGAAGCACTTATCACAAATATCAGCTAAGTTTTAAAACTGTAACAAGTTCACTTCTGGTACGTATTTGAGTGACCCACTTAGACAGCAGCATATGTATACTTAGCCGCAAAAATACCTACATATCACCTCCATGTGTTACTTGAAACAGCAAATAGTTGACCTGGTCAGTGCTAGTAACAAAATAAAATCAAGAGTTAAAATTAAGCAACCTGTTTGTCAGTCATTATATAGTGACACAGCAGAAACTGGGTCTAACTATTCTTTTTGTGTGGCAATGATGAATTGAAAAGTCACATTACTGTCCTGAATAGAACAAGGCATGCATTGAGCCCTCAACTGAACCAGGCTCAATGATCACAAGTCATAAGAGTGAAGGAAGAATGATGCTGTGAATGAAAACAACAGTTACTGCACACAAGACTGCAGTGAACCAATAACAGATCTGAGTGTGTACATCTACACACACTTATTGTATGAGCACCACCAAGCACCAGTGTGATCCACAGATTTGGGTTGCAAGTATAAGAGATATTTGAGAGTCATGAAATAATATTTAAAGAGCTTATTCAATTCAATTATTAAAAAGGTGAAGTTATAAACTTATATTGAATCCAGCATTTTTGCTAGCAACAGGATTATTAAAAGTACATAATAATAAATAACCCAAATTCACACTTGTCTTGTGAGTGTATATTTGCTCTTACCTGTGTAACTTCTTGGGTGGGGGTGGCGGGGGATTGGTCTCATGGTTGAATGCTCCCATTCCTACTGTCAGTAATTCAGTTGAGCCGACATGTGATGGCTGCTTGGCTGGCATGCTGCCGTTCTGCTTGCCTTCCTTTCCTGCACCGGTGCCATCCAGAACATCCTGACAAGGACCATTGTTGGTGGTAGCAAAGGGGGCAGTGCCTGGCTCTGTGATTGGTGGAGGGCTGCTTTGGGCCTTACATGTCCTGGCCTCCTTCCAGTTTGCAGCTTCACCAGTGACCAGCCTATCCTCTTGGGCAGTAGTCCCCTGACATTTAGCTGGATGCTTTTTCTCACCTTCTTTGACATTTTTCTCCTCATCTTCCTCCTCTTCCTCAATGCGACAGTTCCATCCAGGAATGTGGTGATGAGACTTGTGCCGATCGACAGCCATGCTCTGGTTGCTAGTGTGGACCTTAAAGTGACACTCTTTGGATGTGACGAGAAAAAGCATAGGAAGTTCTGGTAGGGGCACAGGGGAGGAGGTGGATGGGCTAAGACTGGAGGCACTTAGTTTGGGAAGTTCAGGCAGAGGCACGGGAGAAGAAATGGATGATGTGAGACTAGAAGTACCCAGCTTAGGGGTCCGGTTAGTTCTTTTTGGGGGAATGGGTGGGCTTGTCTGGGGTTTGGGAAGAACAGGGAGACAGGCAGCTGTCTCTGGTGTCAAAGATGGGGCACTTCGGCTGGGACTGGGCCAGAGGAAGGTTGGGGTGCTTGTGTCTTTTCGGGCAGAAGGACTAAAGTGACACTGGGTGCTCACGGCTGAATCTGGACTGCTCAGATAAAATGTCCTGTTGTTTTCCTCTGTGTGAGCGGCCATTACAGTGATGGTAGCCCGCTGACACTCCACCGAGCCTTCAGGAGGACATGGAGTCCTCTTGATTTTGGTTGGTGATTTCAAATTTTCATGTGCTCTTTGCTTTTTCTTAGTGCTTTCTGCATATATAGGCTCTTTGTCCAGAGGCCCAGTGGGAGAGTTAGATACTGATAGTGAGCTTGTAGGCGTCTGGGGTCTACCAAGGTCATGTTTACTTCCAAAACCATCTGAAAGTGAACCATTACTGCTCTGATAGGAGCAGGATGATTCCGACGGACTGGGAGGGGACTGTGAAGACAATGGAGTGCTGTCATCAGTGTTCACGTTTAAGACTGTGCTAAAGGAAGTGCTGGTAGCCTCAGTAATGACCAAGTCTGTGGATTCATAACCATTATGAACTTTGGTAGGACTAGAAACACTAACATCCATGCCCCGTGAAGCTTGATCATGTTCTTGATAGTGTGTTTTAACGCCATTACCAATATAAGTGCTCTTGCTGGTTCGGGCAGCTTCTGTAGAGTTTATCTGTCTGCAAATGTCATTCTTTCTAAAGTTCTGACAAGTTTTGCCATCTTCCTGTGTAACAAAAATGTTGCTGATAAGCACTGAATCTTTAGAGATCTTACTTGGAGATAAAGCACTCAAAGAGAAGCATTTATTTTCAGGGCTACGCAGACCAGTTTCTTTGGGAACCTTGTTACATCCATTTTTATCTATGTACAGTGAGGACAGGCCAAGGAGCTTTTTCAATCCAAATCGGTCTACTGGACTCCTGGGACTTTCCTAGAAAACAATACACACACAAAATTAATCACACAGTTCACAGATATTTACCATGAGATTTAATATCCTCACCTGCTCGATGTTCATGTTGATATCTGTCATTGTCTCATTGGACTCCAGATTCATCATAGTAGGTTTGACAGCAATGGTCGGCTTACTATAAGGTGAAGGTGCTGTTACTGCACTCTCCTCATCACCTCTCTGGCTGTTTCTTCTCAGGGAGGGCCCACTGCCTCCCCGGTGTGCACTGAGCGGGTGGAAGCAGTTCTTACAAGAGCCGGGTTTCCACACGTGTTCTGCAAAGTCACTGCAGGCAGACATCTTTGATGCACTTGGTGACGTTTGGTCAGAAGAGGCTTTGGATTGATGGTGCAATGATCTGAAGCCCTGTCATTGCTAAAAGAGAGAGACAGATAAAGACATTTTAAACAGTTAACATGGAAATATTGATATATTCTGACACTGATTACTTGATGCTCATAAATGCACTTTTAGTGAGAAGGATTCTCAAATGAAAAGAATGAAAAATGGTGACTAAAGCATCCCTTTACACACAGCAGTCATGTCCTGCTCTGCAGAGTTAACTGAAGATCTGGTAACCTAAGAGGTGCTACATTACATGTTCCCAGGGTCTCCTAAATTAGAGGGTATGTGGTTCCTGTTCACCAAAACAGCAAGTCCTTCTTGAGTCCTCCACTGCCCCCGCTGCATTGAGCATAAGAAGAAGGTTCAAGCATCCTAGAGGTCGGAATGTCAGGAATGTCTGAAGCTGCCGGTCTCACCAGGGTGAATTTCACACCCACAACAACCCCCTGCCCCCTCCTCTCTCCACAAACAGTCACCTAAAAACCCTATTCTCCTTGTGTATCCTCCTCTTTCTTCTGCTGCTGTGTCTTGTTTAACCATTCTGACAGTGAAAAGATCAACACCACTTCATAGTCTTTCCTTGTTTTCCAGTGGCAGGGCATCCCACTTTATGTTCTTTGCTTTGCTTTAATTGCTTCTCAACAAGGTGTTGCAACAACATCCAAGGAACATTAGCCCAACTCCTAAACTCAAACTTATTCATACAGAGATAAGTAGGGACAAACTCAACTTGGGTTGACCAGAGCTTAAATAAGGAATGTCCCAAGTATTTATTGAAAAAGTTAAAAACAGGACAACATGCATGTAGAGAATTAATGTGCATTGCAATGGCAATGCACAGCTTGAGTCACTATGACATCTTGAGATCTTTCTTGTCAGACAATTAGTATTTATAATATTCTTTGATCTGTTTGACTCACTTAAAGCAGGGAAGCACCCACTGACCCATTGTTTGTATAACTTGCTTGCACCCACAGGGGAAACTTGCCTAACACATCTTTTGCTGCTTTTGTATGAGTCATCCCCACTGATGAATGATCAGAGACGCACAGTTACAACAAAGTCTTCACAGCAAAAAAAATCAGGACTGGCAGAAAGAAGGGAGTTTTGTGGGGGAACTGGGGCTATAAAAACCATGTCAAGTCATTCAGAGCATGCCCTTTGGCCGAAAGGTGTCTGTTTAGTAAATTAAAGCCAACTCACGCTGACAGATATACATAGCTCTGTTCTTCCACTTTCCCAGCAGAAAACGACAACAGATGACAGGTTAGTTTCAAAGACATATCATATCTATAGGCCTACAATAGACTGAAGTATAGGTCTTAAGAGCTAACTGCAGTCCCTGTTGACATGTTCAGTTGTGCTTGTTTGAACTGAGATAGACCCCGGTGTCTACATTCCCCACACCTTCTCAAGCTCAAGGTCCAATATTTCTCACTTCCGTTTATAAAAACATCACAGAATCAGCAGTAGTTTTATGTCCTCAGTAATTCAACCATCACCACCAAGGAATTATTATCATATTTTATTTTAATTTTCTTTCTCAAATCCATTTAGTTTAGCCTATTGCAAGCATTGTCTGGCTTAAAAATGGTAATATAAAGACTATAGGACAGTAAGAGTCAATGAATGAAAAGTAGCCTAATTAGCAAGGTTATCTACATCCAACAGCTGTTAAAACGGCAGCCCAAGTCTTTCTGCAGAGGGGGTGCACACAGCCAAGGCAAAACAAGAGCAACATACCATGTGGTGGCAGCTTAAAGGTTAGTGGTCGCCCAGGCTTCAACATTTGCTTTTAAAACATGATACTTTGGTAAAACCGTAAGAAAATAGACCTGATAGCCTAGTAAGTACAGCCTGGACATAATTTAACGTTGAAGACTGCACTGGATGTGATTTTTAGGTTTATTTGCCTTGCTCCATCAGCGCGCAGTCAGCCACGCATACTGAATACAAATTCTTTTATGGGCAAAATCTGTCACGCTTGTCCAGTCCACTCTCACGGTCCATTCAGTCAAAGTCTGTTTCCCCCAGAAGTCGCAAAAGATTTCCGCCAAAAGTTGATAGACTAAAGCGGCATAGCCTGGTAGACAAAGTAGCCCAGTACAAGCGGCTGGCTCAGCTACCACCTGTTTCAGTGGCTAAACCTAACATTAGCCTGGATGGACGAGCGCTTGTATACGTCCCATTGTTAGTGTAAAAGTCGTCTAACAATCTATTATTGGCTATACGTTGATAATTCAGGTTTAATCAATATTCAAGAAAAGAATGTCAAACATCTTGCAGAGACGAATTTAAAAAAGATTATAGGCTATATAATTCCTAATATCTTACGTTTAGACTAAACGCTGAAACAGAAGTGGATGTGTAATCTTTTTGATGTAGCCTGAAGGTTGCCTGGTGCAAACTGCCTGCTTACCTGCTTGGACTTTCTTCCCTGGCAACACGGAAATATCTTCAATGAAGCGAGAAAAATAAAGACCAAAAACTCATGTAATTCCAGATGTAGACAATGCGATGTTCAAGCGTCCTAAAATGGATAAATCAGATTGGCTGAGCGCTGTGTAGCAGCAGTAGACGCAGGAGGCTGGTCGTAGCTGTCGGCCCGGGCATACTGCCACTGGTGCACGGTGCAGAGGTGGACTGGAGTGAGTGAAACAGGCGGAGCAGTAGCGGGACTCCTCTGCAGCAGCAGGCAGCGTACTGGAGCCGCACAAGGAGGTGGGAGGAGCCGATAGCCATGCGCCGCTATGCCCAGTGGCTTTCGCAGTTTACACAGTTTACAGGCGGCCGGGGTTGTCCTCTTACAACTCATACAAGCACTGCGGACACACATTTGATTCGTGCTGTCGGCCTATAACCTAGGCTAACTCGAGCTGAATCCAAATACATAGGCCAGTTTGTAGTGGCTACTAGCTCTATAGGCCTTATAACAGCACCGTGTTTCCTAGACGTTTTACGGTATTTAATTAGCCTAGTTATTCCCATTAACTCATGTCGTTTGAATCACATACAACCAAAGTTATTTAAAAGGTACATGAAATGTGTAGAAAAACCTTCTGAAAGTTCACTTAAGTTTGGTGAGTAGGTAAATCCACATGTCACTCACACAGTGCTTTTTTGAGGCCAGCCAAGATGATTAGTGGATTTTGTTTGAGGAATGTTTAAGCATAGAACTGCATTAAAAGTGAAGCAGTGGATATGGCAGCATTACCAAAACAGTAATTTTGGACACATTTGTTGGCTTATCTAGGGTGACCAGACGTCCCTTTTTACACGGGATAGTTCCAGTTTTGAGCCCCTTGTCCCCTGTCCCAGCAGATTTATCAAAACCATTGATTTGTCCCAGTTTTACCAAGAAATGTCACAAGTGGCCCTATTTTTGCCAATCTGATACCTGTCAGCAGTAAATTTCCATTTGTTTAGGTAAAATACAGAAACGCTGCTTAAAAATGACAAAAACACAAACAAAATTTGACTATACTGACTCCAATTAGTGCTTAGTGCATAACAATTTTCCTTAATTATTACATACTTGTTTCACAATTTTATTATTATCCACCAACACAAACCAGGATTCTCCCAGTTTTTTTATCCTGAAAATCTGGTCACCCTAACCTTATAACCACTCTGATATTTCATGTCTTGTAATGTTGTACTACAACAGAAAAACTAGTATTGCACAGCCGAGACTAATGAAACTGATGCAGTTTCATTGTAACAAAAGGCAAAGGACAAAAGCAGATAGTATCAGCCCACTGTGCACCCACTTTCTCTGAAGGACATGGTTGCATGTGTGTGGATCAATTGGATATGCAGCCCCTCCCAGTTTCCTGAAACTCACCAGAAGATTTATAACAGTGTTATACAGCAAATGCTTGATCCAGTGAGCACTGATATCTAGATTAAAAAAACAAAGGGAAAAATGCAATAAATTGAAGTTCTACCCTGATTCATATCACATGTTTAGTTCTGCATCATGAGAATAATTATGATAATCAAGGTTACAAACACTTAGGCAGGACATAAATCAGCCTTTATAAACACAGCAATGCAAATGGAAATCTCCAAATAATTGTTGATGCTGTGAGAATTATAATTACAGAAGAGCCACGAGAGCTACATCCATTATAGGCTCTCACCACATAATTTCTTCTGCTCAAATTACATGCGGGGACTGTTTGTTTCTGAATCACACACAAATATTTCATCATTTCTATTCCATATCAAATCTGTAAAAGCCAAATGAAATGCAAGGGACTGTGGAAGGGCATGTTGTAGGCTATAAGAAAATCCCTTTTGTAATCCCTTTTGTAACTCTAAAGAATAAAAGATATGTTGCAAAAAATGCATATCAGAGAAGTTTTTTTTAGACAACTTTTCTTTTATACAAAACGAGCCAATGAGCAAATACTGCAACATGGGATGACTTTGGATAAGAGCCAGCACTGCTACAGCTGCAGCATCAGGAGACAGGAATATGAGCAATGCAGTGATGTATGATGCTAGTTTCACTCTCCTGCTCTTACATGTTCCAACACACAAAAGCAAACAGTGCGGTTGCAAGAGTTAAACAGCCTTCATTTAACTTCCAGTTTCAGGAAACATGACCAAAGACAACTGTATTTTTAGGAAGGACACGTGCACTGCAAGTCAGCCTTCCTGTTCTGCTAGAGAAATTGGACTTTGATTGTCAAAGAGGCTAAGGTAGGTCATGAGGTAAATGGGGAAATGGGAGGAAGTTGTACCAGGAAGGGTATCCTGTGTATGAATAAAGGCAATAACAAATGGTCGTTTTATGTAGAGAGCATTTCAGCTGTTTTTGTGATCCAGTTGTTTTGGCTCCCATCCAGAAGCTGTTTTCAATTTGATGGTACTTGCTTGAAAAAATCCCAGTATTTCTACATTGAACCACAACTGACGTTTGAAGATTACAATGCCTCAAATATCCAATCAGATGGATGATATGAATTTGCTAAAATTGACACAGATAAATCTAAAGTGATGCCCCTGGAGCCTTTCCTGTCGAAGTTGGTATATTAGTGATATAATATGATATATGAACAAAACACAACAGTATTATACATTTCCTGCTTCATTTTGATGTAATTGTCTGAGTCATAAACATCTCCTTTCAGCATGTGGCATTTTCTACAGTCTGTGTATAGTCCCTGAAATCATTTGATTAATACATTATTTTATGATAATTTTGGTTACTGATTAATTGCAATTAATTGTTTAACTTGTGTCAGCTGAACCCTTTTTTAAAAATAATATTTCCAGTTATTACCCTCTGTATTTCCATTAAAAGAGAAGAAACCTATTGCCCCATGCTATGTTTATTCGCCCTGATTGACGAACCACGTTTCTGTTCTGCTTTCTGTTTCAGCAAGTCACTTCCCTCTTCTGCAGGAGGGCCATAATAGATATCCTGTCACAACACCAAAAAGCCTTTGTTTGCAATTGGCCCACATGTCAAGAATACTTTTAATCTCGTTACTCGATACTCACGACTTACCATTTGAAATCTAATGCTGCTCTCCAATTCACCTCTGATGGAAATCTACTGTGAAATGGCTAGAGTTTGGGTTCAAGTGTAATTTGAAGACTGGGATGAAAGGATACAAGCTGTTTGTAGTCTGCCCATGTTTACGACTGTTCAGAAATACGACAAAAGAAGGCCAAAATGTACACCTGCCCCCCAGGACTTGCTTTCTTCTCCACAGGTTGTCCCTCTTAAAGTTTAAAGGTGACCTCGCTGTGTAACTGTATGCCTTTGAGAGCCAGCCACCTGGATCTAATGATGTTGTCTGCCTGGTACAGTAGTGGTGTTTTGGCGACGTGGCAGTTCTATGAGGAGAAGGAGCTGCCTTGCAATTATCAAGAAGTACTGTTAGTTGCTGTACTGCAAAAATGACTAAAGTAGGGGGAAAGTCGTCATGTAAATTATCACTTTTGATTTACTGAGACAGTCAGGACCACACAAGGCAAAGCCAATAGCAGGATAGATAGGTACAACAAGTTACAAGCTATATAAAAACATTTCAACCAAAATGTAGCCAATACAAAAAAATGCAACTGGTTTTGCTGATTTAATGGTCTTAAACAAAGTACATTTTTGCTCTAACACAGAACTGATCTATTAATTTTAAAATAAAATACAATATTTAATCTTCACTGATTAATTAAAGAAGCCAGTGGAGTACTGCATTATTTTATAAAGTATATCAATGTGATATTCAATAGCTGAGATTTACAAGTAAGAATTGCAAAAGTTTTGTGTAATTAAGTCACTTTTTTTAATTGGGGGATTTTTGTCTATACTAAATCTGTTAACCTCCTGACCACCACATTTTTGTCATATTTGCTAATGTCAATACACCAGTGTACAGAGACGTTTCTGTTCTTGTGCCCTTTGTTGCCATGGCACTGTGTAAGGTGGGTAAACCAAAGATAACGCAACAGCAGGCCGCACCTCGCACACACAAGCCCTCCTCCTTTGAGTCGAATCACCCACATACACTGATGACGAGACTGCTCCTTCGTCACATTCCAGCACCTGCCCCTACAGGCTAGATCTGGGTTTATGAAGTGCACTACACTGCCACTTTTCATTTCCACATCCACCCAACGCATAATTCCTTTATAAGATTAACAGGGTTTTATGTAATCCTCCTTCATCATCCGGATTACTCAAATGGTACAATAGAGTATCGAGCTAAATTATGAAAGATTCTGAACTTTGACAAGTAGGTGAAAAATGTTGGAAAAATGTCATCAACTGGCATTCCAACATTGAAGGTCCTATATTACACAAGTTGACTATGATCTTTAAGCCATGTTATAAGGCTGTTAACTCATCAAGTTTTGTTTCATTCAAACATGTTTGGGTAACATCTCCAAAGCTCAAAATGCTCTGTTCCACTTTGTGGTAGGTCATGAAGCAGTAGTTTTCAAATTAACAGTTACCTTTTACTTTTTGTTTTAGAGATTGGCAATTCCAGGACTGCAATGATCCAAATGATTCTACTGAAGGTGTATGTAGTCTAAATACACAGTGGAGCACTTCCTGCATTACCACATGACATTATAAGGTGGAGCGTTTTCTGTTTAAGAAAAGGAAACAAGGAAAGACTAAATATCCAGGATTTGTGTGAATGAAACAAAACACAACTTTGTGATGAGGAAACAACTGTATAACATTAGTATTAATTTGTTTAACTAAATAATTTCTAAAATTATATTTTGCTGCTGTTTCTTTACTACTTCTGACAGTTATATTTAACAATTTGTCAGCTACTATTACCAGTGTTGGGAATTTAAAAAATGTACATAAAATACATGTACATATTCAGAATACTGAATAAAAAAAGAATATTGTAAAATATTGTAACGTTTTGTAATAGAATATATTACAAAATACATTTTAATACAACTATTCAGAGTTACTTTACTATATTTTAAAACTTAAACAGTGAAGGTGACCACCATAAAAATTTACTGCAATAGAGTAAAAAAAAACATTCAAAAAATGTCTGAGGCACTCTGTTGTTGGAAATATTATAGAAGTCTTTTATTGGTTACATGGGGCTATATAGCATAGCCACCTTCACTTTTTATTTTATTTTTTTAGCTTTTGAGCCTTGTCCTTGAGGAGCACTTGTTCTGGACTGAAGCTTTCGCTCCTTCTGCGTTTTAATATTTTAAAGCTATTCTTTCCTACACTAACCAATAATGTAAGACCAAAGCAAAAGTGGAATGTATACTACCTTTTGTTACTCATATTTTGATGCCATCTTCTTCTCTAATAATAGTACATGTGTAGAGCAGCTGGTCATTTCCCTTTGACTTCAATAACCCAACAGTGACTTGTTTGCCCCAGATTGTGACACTGATCTGCTTGAGTAATTAACCCACATAAACAAATCCTTGTTTTAGAGTTTCCCCAGACACACGACAAAGCATCTGCTACATGAATTAGTTGACTAAATACCCAACAAAATGCTAATTCTATATCCCATAAAACCCTAGGGTATATTATGGTTAATTTTGGAAAAAACTGGCCTGTTGTACTGTTGAGTTATTTGTGTAATGTAGCTGTGAGCTGGTGCTGACATTGTTGTTGCCTTGTACTGGGGGTTGCTCGAGGTAATTGACCAATTGACCAATTTGCTGCCAATAACAACTCTCTTCAATTTGTTTGGCACTTTCTTTGACAAGGCATGAGGAGTTGGTTAAAGTCACTGTGGAACTTATATTATTTAACACAAGTGAAATATTGTAAAATTTTGTTTTGAATTTTGTGAAACCATTTATAGTTTATCTACTAGTCGTGTGGTGTCTTATACAGAAGTATTTGAGATTTAAATATATTTCTAAATGGAGGACACATGCTGCATCATATGTAAGCTAAGTTCTTCTCTCAAACAGAAAACACTGTTCCATCTTGTGATTACATGTAATAATACAGGAATCACACCACTGTGTTTTTAAACTCCATACACGTTCACTAGAGTTATTTGAATAATTTCAGCCCTCGAATTGCCAGTCTCTGCTAAACAAAAATTAAAAGGTTGCTGTTAAATTGAAAACTGCTACTACATGACATCATAAGGTGGAACAGAGCATTTTGAGCTTTGAGTATTTCTCAAACATGTGTGAATGAAACAAAACACAACTCCAGGTATGTTTTTGAGACGGTAACAACATTATAACATGACTTAAATCTCACGAAAGTCAATTGTGCGCATAGGACCCTAAAATCTCTTTTCCGAGTGTTTACACTTAATAACCTTGGAGATGTTTTTAAACCCTACATACAAAATCTCCCCTCATTGTCTACAGTGCCTGAGGCTATGTTCAAAACAGGCATGAGCAGAGTGAATCACACTTGTTTCACACACCAATGTTGTGTGTAGACTTCACCTCCCCCAATCCTCTCTCTGTTGTATGACCCTCTGGAGGTCATTGTGTCTCTATATTATATCTAACAACAAAACAAAACATGAGAGCAAATGAAAGACCTGTCATGATACACTTAAAGGCGCTGTACTTGATTTTCACAGAGATGAGTGTAAGCCCTTCATACAAACTTCCAGAGCAGAGTAGAGTTTTGCTGTTATGGTAACCCTAACAATGACAATCATGCTAACCGCACTATTCCTGATTGTCAGGAAACGCTATGCATAATTAGATGTACACAATAAATTAATTTTGAGTTACTTAAATATCTGTACTGGACCAAGACAAATATTGGCCAAATATGTGGGAAAAAATGCAACCCCAGACCAATTTTATTGTTCCAGGCTTTCAGATAAATAATAAAGATAAGTCTGCTATTTTGTACTTGCACACACGTGCATTCTATCATCCTAATCTTAATAACGACATATAATAACATTTTGTTGTGAAAAATATTTCCCAATAAATTCTAAGCCTGAATTGTTGTAAAGGCTCTGGCAAACCTCTGGTAAATTCACCATTTTCAGTGATTCACTTCATAAATCACCAGTCTGTCTCTATCCACTTTTATTTTCAATATGCAATAAAAAAGTTTGGACACCCATCTGGATTTATTATTTATGTATGTCCATTTTAACGGGCATGTAAAAATTAAGTGCAGAAAAAAGTTATGGCTGGGTGATGTTTGTCCCAGAAACAAAATTGCAAGAATCTGAAAATGAAGTACATTATTTGCAAGTGACTTGGATCAACTTAGCTTTGTCCTTAATTATTTTTTTGACTCTTCTGTTTTTCTTCCACAGAAATATAAAATTATCTTTGAAATTGTCCTTGTACATTTTCATTCTCAGTAACCACAATACCACTTTGAGAGCAGTTTGACGAATGTGTAACATTTCATGGCCCTCTCAAGCACAGTTTGGTCACTAAAGCTTGAAATTCCTCACAGGTTAGTCAAAGTCAGGTCAAGTTGCGAGGAACCTGTCAGACCAGTGGTTTCTCACTTTGCGTTTATTGAAACACAAGAAGCTACAGAGGCCTGCTGTGTGGACCCTCACTGCTGTTTGTGTGAATTAGTGTCAGTACTCAAACCAGAAAAGCACACAGGTCACGAGTTAAGGAATTCCCATTAATATAGTTGTTTTTAAGTCTCTGGTTTATCTGACAAATTATATTTTCTTTCTACCCAGTTATGCCACTGGTTAAGTCCTGTTATGCAAAACCGACTCGAGTTTTGAGCCATGTTAGAATATTGCTACCTCCTCAAAGATATACCTGAACTTGTGTTTTGTTTCCTTCACACGTTTAAGTAACCCTTTATTATGTTTGTCTACATCTCCATAGTTCAAAGTGCTCTGTTCCACCATGAAGTGGTAGTTTCAGTTTAACAGCTACCTTTTACCTTTTGTTCAGTAATTTGACAAGTCCAGAATTAAAATTGTCCAAATGATTCTAATGAAGGTGTAATGGTGTTTACACAGTTGAGCACTTCTTATATTACCACATGACATCATAATGTGGAACAGAGTGTTTTCTGTTAAGAAAAGGTTATATATGCATGATTTGAGTATAAAACAAAAGTTTTAAAAGGAGCGCTTCCTGGACCTCCTGTTTTGTCCCCTGAGGAAAGCCATAGACCGAAACACATGGGGACTTTGTAAGTTGTCCATTAAGACATGCTGTATATTAATAAAGGCATTTTATTTTAACCAGTGAGTGCCTTGGGTTTTTTGCATCTTTAAATGTTTGTGTGTTAAACATGCATGAATGAAACAAAACAAATTATAATCAAATCAGAAAATAGCGTAATATGAGGTCTTTAATGATTTGTATACATTCAGAGTGCAAATAGAATTGGTACTCATCACATTTTGTACAAACAAGAAGAGAATAATCTAGAATTGTATGTAGTATTTATAGTACGGAAATGGTTATACCAAGCACCTAAGCAAGCTCATGTGAAACCACAGCATAGACAGCAAGAGACAGGAACAGATCTACATTCAAAATAACCACAGAGACAAGAAAACAGCATGTAGAAGAATGTTTACTGTAACTGAAGAAACATTTACCAATACAATCCTAAAACAAACAAAAAAGTGCATTCATTAATTTTATTAATATTCATAATGCTGTATCCTCTCCTTTTCTGAAAATACTGATAAAGCTTGTATTCTTCTTCTTGATATAGTGATGTCGTCTAAAATCTCTCTCTATATATATAGGTCTAAAAGAGAAAGTGAAATTGAGAGATAGCTATCTTTTACACTGTCAAGAAAAACATAAGCAGTGTATTCTCAAGAGGTTTAATTAACTGGGTACTATCCCAAGATAGGCCAGTTTAATGACTTGGTAAGAACCAACCAATAACCATATTTAAC